AGGAATGTCCGCTCTCCGGAGCACTCGTTAGCTGGTGGTGATGACACTTCACAGTGTTTCCAGGAGACACTAAAAATACCAGCTTTGCATAAGACCGGGAGAGCTGAGGATCCGAGGGAGGAGAGGATGGGAAGCTTTTTGTCTGCAAGGGCTGAGCAGAGGAGGGAGAGGAGCCCGGTCCCGGCAGCACATGGCCATGGAGGGGGCATCCATAGGGAAGTGTGTGGTTGAGTGAACACAGGACATTCCCATCACCCACAGCATCCAAGCCAGTTGCCCTTCTCCAGCAGGGAAGGGAGGGACTGTGGCCACTGGGTCTGGAGCAAATGGGGACTTCTGGAGGAAAGGGCTCAGGGTTGGATTAGTCACTGCAGCCTTTCAAGAACAATTGCCAATTCTCCTGCCTAAGGAGTGGTTTAAATGTCTCCCATCCAGAGGATTCTCTGGATGATAACACACTTACCTCACTTCCTAAAGAGCCTTATGAGCAGTTTATTAATCACCCCATCCCTCAGCTCTCCGTGTTGTCCCCCTTTCCTCTGAGGAGCAGATTCTGCTGTTCTCCATGTCCCTGGGTGGGCAGTGGGGTGGCAGCACCCACCACCCTGCCTGTGGGTGCTGGGTCACTGGGAGCACAGGGTGGGATGCCTGGGTATCCCAGGATGCTTCATCCACCCTCATGCAGGACCGGAGCAAAGCCTGGCAGCAGAATTTGCAGGAAAACTGGGCAGCTGAGGACAAAAACGGGCATTTTGACAGGTTTCACCTCCTGGCCATAAAGACCCTGCCACGTGGCTCTGCTCTCCTCTCACAGCCCCACCTCAGGTTGCTGTCAGGCACCTGTTGGGGTGCTCTGTGCCTGAAGATGGGGTTCCATGGGAGCGCTGAGTGCCACGTGTAGGGCTGTGCCTGAGCACTGCTGTAACACGTGGGCTCCAGGCTTCATTCGGGAGAATTATTTATACCAACATCTACATGAGCTGCCTTGCAGGGAAGGCGCTGCGGTGCAGCTCCTGCACCCTTGCAGAAACAAAGTGAATTTAAAACCACGGCGTACATCCAACCTGCAGAAGGGTTTCCCCGTGGGTCTGGGTTATAACCTCTTTCTGAAGCTTTTCCAGTGGAGGTGCAGACCCCCATGGAGCCAGCTGAGGTTTCCTCCCACAGCCCCGCGGAGGAGAGTCCCGAATTAACAGGCTCCAGGTTCCAAATGGCTGATTTAAAGATGTGCTGGCTCCCTGCATCCTGAGCAGCTGTAGCCTTTGAAAAGGGATTGAGTAGTGGCAGAGCCCTAATGTGAAATTGGTTTGAAGTCAGCTGTAAGCCAAGGGAATAAGGGAGCACCCAGCGTGGCACGGCGGGATGGGATTAGCCAAGGTGCTCCTTCCTGGGTCAGGCTGGGAGCTCAGGGCTTGCCCACACAGCACCCAAACAGCAATCAGGGGAAAAGGAGCAAGTTTAGGAGGAGAGCAACACAGAGAGAAAGGAAACCCTCTGACCTTCCGATAAACACAGCAAAGGCTTTGAAAACGTGAATCCTCTGGTAAAAATCCCAGCGAAACCTAAACTGCGGTTTCTAAGGGAGATTTTAGGGGCGTGTGATTTGGCTTTGTGCTTTTATTGCAGCATCTGAGGGAGGCTGAAATGTGCTCTGAGTCCCTCCGCTGGGCTGGAGGCATTTGGGTTCATCCACTCTGCCTTGATGGGACATCCAGTGTCCCAACCCAGTGGTCCCTCTGGTCACCACCAGCTCGGTGACACTCATGGAGTCAGACATGGGGGACAGGTTGCCCAGAGAAGCTGTGGCCTGGAAGTGTTCCAGGCCAGGTTGGACAGAGCTTGGAGCTCTGTCCCTGCCCATGGCAGTGTTAGGAACAAGATGAGCTGTAAGGTCCCTTCCAACCCAAACTATTCTGTCGCTCTGTGGCGTGGTCAGCATGACCTGTAGGCACAAAGCTCATGGTGCCAAGGCAGGAGTTGTCCTGCATCCACCCTCATCCAGGCTGGCAAGCAGGTGCTGCAATCCCAGGGCAGGAGGGCACCGAGGTGAAGATTAAAGAAGCTTTGATGGTTGTGCTCTGGTCTTGTTAACGGCGCGTCTATCAGAGACCTCGAGCTGCCTCTACTCTCTCTTGCTCGTCCCTCGCTTCCAGCTGCTGAGATGCATTAAAAGGAAGCTAAAAATATATTGGTTTCCAAATACTGCTTTGCCATGTAAACAGTGGTGGCAGCGGCGCAGGATGGAGCGCAGCCGTAAACAGGGTGACATCACCCCGTGACAGGGACGGCACGCGCCGGGGCTGGTGGCCTTATGAGGAAAGCTTGAAACCAGCAGGTTCAGGAGGCAGATGGGGATGCTGCTGCTTGGAGAAAGTCTTGGAAAAACGCTGTGTGGGTTTTAGCTGAGGGTGTGCAAAAGCCAGATGGGGGTCTTGGTGGTCCATTCTGCCCATCGCTGCCGTGGTGGGCACTTGGAGACACCCAAGAGGACAGAAGTTCAGACAGGACCTTTCCATCCATCCTCTGCGCCGACACAAAGCTCAAGCAAAGCCCTGACCTTGCAATTCCCAGCACCATTTGGCTTCTGTCCCCATCGCTGGGGTGGCACTTGCGGGCTTAAAGCCATGATTTGGGGAACCTGCAAGAGCTCCGGCTGGGATATTCGGGCCAGGCACAGCAGGTTTTTAATTGGCTTTCGTCCTTGCCCAATATCTCCCTAATGGTTTTAGAAATGGGGGGGATGTGTTGGAGGAAGACTTGGCTTGCTCCTGGCACGTGACTCGGTGAGGAAATGGGAAAAGAATTTCTGGCTGTGAAAAGGCAGCTCCACGTCGAGATCGTTCCTTCTTCGCAGTGGAACAAAAAGCCTCCTCGCCCCAGCCCGGATGCCTGGGATTCCTCACGGAGGGGCCCCGGAGCGGTAACGGTCCTGCTCCGCCAGCTCCCGGCCAAGGTGGTAGCAGGGGAGCCGGGGGTGGCGTTGCCGGAGCGCTGGCACAACCCCGTCATCCTCTTGTTGTTTCAGCTGTGCTGGATTAATAACAGGGACCGGGAGCTGGAGTGTCCCCCGCCAAGGAGAAAAATCTGGGCTTTGGGACACTCTGGCAGTGTTGGCAGATGGGGCTGGAGGAGGCTGCAGGGCCAGCCCTGACCGCGTGTCTGTCTGTGCATCCAGGAGGGCTCAGTGGGACGTGGAGAGGACATGCTCTGGATGGGCAAAGGGGCTCCCTGGAGCCTGCTTGGACTCTCCTCACATATCTCTGCTCCCTCCCCACTTCCCTCTCTTTTCCTTGGTTATATTTGAAGATGGAGAAAAGGGGTTCCAGGGGTGTCCCGGTGTGCAAACATTCCCAATGAGCACTTTGGGCTGTTTGATGGGCATTTCTCCCTGAGCCCTCCCCTTCCACAAAACATCGGTTTCCATCTCTCTGAAAGCGAAATATCCCTTTGGGAATGTGGTGCTGGAGCTGCTGCATGTGCAGTTGGTGCTGGGACATGCAGATGAAGGGTCCAAGGGCTTGTGGTGGGGAAGCCAGACTCCCACTGCATCCATGCTGTAACCTTGGCCAAGCCTAGGGGTTTCTGAGATGGCAGGCACCTGCAATGTATCCAAAAAAATCAGGATTTTGAGTCCTTTGGCTTCAGCCTTCGTCTGTTAACGTGGCCATGGCTCACCATGGCTGGGTGGGAAGGTTTTGGTGAAGCTATGGCACAACAAAGCGCAGACTGAAGTCCCATTCTCCTGGTTTTGGCACTTTTGGGGTGCATGCTGCACGTTTTTCTGAGTTAAACACCTTGTATTTTTATCCCGATGCCATAATTCATCCCAAAGTAGAAGGCCGGGTGGCTGGTGGGGCGGGTTGTTGCCTGGAGATGCGTGGAGGCTGTTCCCAACCCTCCTGTTTTCTCTCCCAAGTCTGTGACTTCCCTCAGCATCACTTCGCAGTGGTGATTCACACGCCCGGGCTGCCTCCCTCTCTGCTCTCAATGTTCCCTGAGTCTTAAACCCAAGGGTTTTGGGGGAGGAAAAGAGGGTGACACAACTCGGGTCTGTCAGAACTCTAGGTCAGCAGGATGCTGACCTAGACCCGAGGCTATAAAAATTAGGATTTTTAGGAAAAGAGCCTGCAGTGGGTGATGGGCAACTTGACTGTGGCAAGTTGCGGTTGGGTTTTTGGCAGAGCGATGGGGAAGGCAAAAATGGTACTTTGGGGGTGTTTGGGGTTTAATGATTTAACAGCTCGGTTCTTTGTGCGAGGGTGGGTGTGAGAGGCAAGGGGAGCCGGCGGAGGGGGTCTCAGCCCCTCACCCAGCGCCGGCTCGGGGACAAAGGGCTGGGGGAGCGGGGCCGGTGGCGGGGGGAGCCGGAGCCGGAGCCGCCGCCGAGCCAGGGCGTTGCTGCTCTTTGTCGGGGGCTGCCGCCTCCCCCCGGAGGAGGGGCCATCCCCGGCGGGGCGGGCGGGGACCACCCCCGCGCTGCCACCGAGCATCCCCCCCGCCACCCCCAGCCGGGTCGCCCTCCGGTCCCCCCTTCCCGGGGCCGCTGGGGGGGTCGGTGCGGGAGGCACCGCGGCGCCCGGGAAGGGGGCGGCCCCGGCGCTGCCGCCCCGCCCCGCGGAGCCGCCCCCCGCCCGCCCCGCGTCCCCGCCCTCCCGCCGGGGCTGGAGCTCCCGCGGGAGCCGGTGCTGGCGGCGGCGGCGGGGCCGGGGCGTGCGGCGGCCTGCGCGGCTCGGCCTTTTGTTCCGCCGGCGGGAAGGAGAGCGGGCGGCGGCGGCCGGGAGCAGGAGGAGGAAGAAGAAGAGGAGGAGGAGGAGGAGGAGGAGGAAGGCAGCGGCCATGCATCCCGCCGCGCCGGCCGGGGAGCTGCCCGCGGGGGCGGCGCGGAGCCCCCGCCCCCGGCCCGGCCGCTGAGCCGCGCACAAAAGGGGGCAGAGCGGCGGGGAAGGGAAGAGGAGGGCGGCCCCGGTGTGTGTGTGCGTGTGTGACCCCCTACCACCACCCCAACCCATCCCCGGTCCGCCCGCGCGTCGCCGCGGGGACCGGCCCCGCGCCCGCCCTGCAGCCCCCCGCCCCGCCATGGCCGGGCCGCCCGGTGGCGCGGAGCCGCCGCAGCCCGACACTGGCCGCCGGGAAAGTTAGTGCGAGCGGGGCCGGGAGGAGGAGGAGGAGGAAGAAGAAGAAGCAGCAGCAGCGGCAACAGCCGCCTCCAGCCCCGGCTGCTCCGCGTCCCCCCCGCCGGCTCCCGGAGGCAACTCAGGGGATTCCATCCCGCTCCGTCCCTTTGCCATTTTTGGATGCGTTTTATAGCCAATTTTTTTTTTTTCCTGGGGAGAAAGCGGAAAAAAAAAAGCGAAGAACCCAGCAGCCTTGCTGCACCGCCGGACTCCGCGGCGTGCCGCCGCCGCCGCGCACCCACCGGCTGGATTTTGGAGGGGTTCCGCGACTCCCGGCGGCACCGGGCGAGGGGACGGGGAACAACAATGCCATCATGTTTTTGAGACAGGAAACCTCCGAGTTTGCCCTGAATGAAGAACTTCCTGTGTTTAAACTTGTACGAATATCCGCTGACAAGCTCAGTTCAAATGAAAACACGAGAGTCGGGGGGAGAGGCTAATTCGGACCAGCTGGACTCCCACGGCACTTGGAGCTGGGCAGAAAACGCGAGGAGCCGCTCGGTGCTGCCAGCCCTGAGCGGCCGGGACAAGCAGTGCCTTTGTTAGTAAAGAAGGACGGACAGGATAATTCAAGAGCTTCAAACTCTTCCGCTGTTTTTGTCGCTAAACCGTTTGGAATATTTTATCGAAGCCGTTGGGTTTGGATGATCTGCTGATGGATGGGGTTTTTTTTAGGCAGGTTGGGGAATGAGATGGGTTGTTTCACCGCTCGGGACTGTCGGTCGGGCTGCTGAGCCAGCACGGTGCTGCCGGTGCACCATCCCATCCCATCCCCATAGGGTCGCTGCTTTGGGATCAGAGTCTGGCACGGTGGGTTTGGGACCTGCTGGCCATGTGATGCTTCCCGCCGTGGTGGGCGAAAGGTTGCCGGGGCGGTTCCGTCATCCATAAGGACGAGAGTATGGGCAAACCACTGAGCCGGCCAGACTGTTTACGGCAGAACCGCACTTGCCTGGGGAAGGGCGAGGATGAGGATGGTTATATAGAGGATTGCTACGTGCCCCAGAGATCGATATACGACACAATGAGAATTAACGAGCAAATCGATCAGGGATCGAAGCTCAACCAGCTTTCCAAGAGCACCCTTGGCAAGGGGGATGGCAGCACCATATCCAGCAACGGGACTCTGGGAGCTGCCAACGTCTTCGAGTCCAGGCCGCCAGAACCGAAAAAGTTGGATGAACGAGTCATCTTTGACGCGCTGAAGCTCAGCAGTGACGTCTCCAAGCCGGCGCCGGCTCCACCAAAGAGGCGACCAAACCCTGAGAGGAAGGAGAATGTCAACCGGCGGTCATGGAAGTCCTTCATGCCACCCAACTTCACCGAATTTGCAGAAAGGATGGGGGCTTCACTGAGCGAGGTGTCGGAAGCGGGCGCCTCCAACCCTTCCCTGCGGGATAAGCGGGATTCCAGTGCCATGCTCACCGAGCAGCCTGGCCAGCCCGACCATGGCGAGCCTATGTCCGAGTCTCTCACCTTGGAGCACGTCTCCAAGTCATCTGGCACGGCGGAGGCGCTGACGGCCAAGCAGTTCAGCGTGGATGGGTACGACGGTCCCCGGGATGAGCGCCAGGCCTTGCTGAACGCCGGTGACAGCCGCGTCAGGGACCTGGCCAGGGCTTGCCGGCTCCCCAGTGCCACTTGGCCGCGAGCCAGGAAGAATTTCATCAAGGGAAACTTCAACGATGGGCACCAGGAGACCCTGGAGCCCTCCGGGTCGGACTCTACAGTGGAGAACGTCAACCTCTCTCCGTGCCTTAGTGAGGAGCTGCTGGATACGGGACTGGATATTCTCATCACCTCCAATCTCAGGGAGAAAACGGAGTCTGAGCTGAGATTTGAGGAGGACGAGCGCTGGGTGATGATGGAGGAGTGGGAGGAGGCGACGCTGTCAGAGAGAGGAAAGGCTGTTCTGGTGGCAGAGGAGAAGAAGAGCTGTTGCTTGGCAGATATTTCTGAAGAAAGGGAGCAATCCGCTGCTCCGGCGGATGGCTCTGCCCCCAGCCCAGGGCCCTCCCAGTCCTGCTCTTGCCCAGGGGGTGCCGGCAGCCCCCTCACCAGCAGCACAGGCTGCACCGAGGACGCGGCGGTGCAGTGTGGAGTTGAGGACTTTGCTCCAGTTTTGGAGCGCTCAGCCAGCCCCACAGGCCCTGAGTTGTCCGACACGGACTCTGTGCAGATGTTCCTGGAGCTGGAAGAGCAGTGCCTGAATGAGGATGAGTGTGGTGGGGGTGTCAAGGGTTGCCTGGAGGTTCAGGTTTCCCCATGGACTCAGAGGGGCTGGACCCAGATTCGACCAAATTGGCCGGGTCGGAGGTCGAAGGGTGTCAGCATAGGGTCCCTTTGGACATCAGTGCTTCAGACTCTGCTGTTGTGTCTGATCTGGAGGACTTTGATGTCACCTGCAGCTCGCAGATGCTGAGCACTCTGGAGCCATTGACAGAGCCCTTCTCAGAAAGGGACACCTTGGCTGTCACCCCAACGGACTCGGACGGAGGGGCCTCCCCCAGCCCCGTGGCCACCACAGGGCCAGGATCCCTACTAGAGTGCTCCTCAGTGCTGGTGGAGGAGGATGATCCTGACCCACTGGTGCACAGTTGCAGGGTGGTGGTGGCTGGTGGGATGCCATCTCCTGAGACAGGGGCACGTCCACCTTCGGGACTGGGGGGAACTGGTTACCCCAGCGCTCCATCGGGGTGGGGTGAAGATAACCAGGACTTGCTGGTGCCTGATGGGGAAGTGTCACAGCTTCCCAAGGAGACCTCTCCTGGCCAAGTGTCCCCCTGCCAGCCCCCAGCTCCTGACACAGCGGTGGAGGAGCTGGGGTCTCCCCCACAGCACAGCAAGGCTGGCATTGAGGGGATGGATCCATTCGGGACCCATCACCTTCTGCCTGAAAGGACAGAAGTTGCCAGCTGGGTTGCTGGCAGTGAACTGGTTTCTGAGGATGAAGCCACAAATTTGGGATCAGGGAGTGGAGCTGATGGCTGGACTCATCTGGCAGGGAGTGAGGGTGTTTGCTGTGGTTCTCTGCTGCCTTTCCACACTGGCTCTGCATCAGAGCCAGACTCTGAGGCTATGACAACGTTCCCAGTGCCTGTTGAGGACCTCCCATGGGAAATGGTTTCCCAGAGCCAGGGCATGGCTCTGGAAGGGGCTGCCTGCACTGAGGGGTCCCCCAGGGAGGTGTCTGTCACACATGGGGGGACACCAGCAGCCATCCTGCAGCCAGGAGACATGGACTTGCTGTTTGCCCCTGACTGGGGTCGTGCCGTAGGGCTGGGTGAGGGGGTTCCATGTGATGCCAGCCCAGCTGACCCTGAAGAGCTTCCTGGCACATCACCCATTGCAGGGCCCGCTATCCCATGGGATTTTGGGGAGCTTTCTGCTCCAGCCCACCGACTTTCACCAGGAGATGTGGCTGTCCCAGAGCCCCAGGCTCAGGAGACACCACCAGCCCCTGGGGATGCTACCATGGATGCCGAGGAACCTCCAGAAGCCACCACCACTGCCATGTCCTTGATGGTGGAGGAGCTTCTGGAAGCCCCACCACCCTTTGCTGATGTGCCTGTTGCCACCGTGCCACCACGAGCAGCTGATCCGCTCGTCTCTGGTGCTGGGGATCTTGGTGGTGACCCCGTGCCGTTGGTAGTGGCCTTGGGGGATACAGATGACTTTGCCATCATGGTTGTGCCACCCATCCTGGAGCACCTGCCCACCGAAGTGCTGGCCTTGGAGGACGACCCCATTGCAGGAGCACCCGCAGCTGAGGGGGCAGCTTGGGACGATGGTGCCTCCGTGCCACCAAGCATAGAGGATCCTCCCTTCGCCTTCCCACCCCTCCCAGAGGGATCCACCATCCCAGAGCTGCTGGGAGCACCCTCTGCTGCAGCACCCGCCGCACAAACCCTCCCTGGGGCCGCGCTGGGGGACATCTTCCATCCTCCCAGCTGTGGCGGTGCCACTGCCCTGTGCCCTGGCGAGGGAGAGGTGCCGACAGGCACAGAGGGACCCCTCGCTGCAGAAGGGCCTCCTGCTCTACCAGATGGATTCGTTCCAGATAACGAGGTATTTGTTGCTGGGGCGCTCGCAGCCGGGGCTTCAGGCGCAGAAACCGCTTTATTTCGCACCCGAGGGGTGGGTGGGAGATGGGAGCCCACTCGGTAACGCACGATCTGCGCCCTTCAGGCTTCAGAACAGTCTTCTCCCTCCTGAGATGGGCTTGAATTTGGCAGGCAAAAGGTTTTGGGGTGGGGGTGGGGGGGAATTGTGTGATTTTATAAGTAGGGTAGGCAAAAGACTCGCTGCTCGATGACCTCAACTATTGTCTTATACTTTTTTGGCTTAGTAAAGTACATTATGGTCGCTCAGATGGAAATCACAGACTTCAGAAAAACCTTGTCACCGACTCCAGGCAGGCAGTTCCCATCTTTGAAGCAGAAAATGTATCGGAAAAGAGAAACCTGTAAAACGAATTAAGTGCAAATAATTCCTGTCCTGTGCAGTCATCGCTGTCTATGGCTTTTCCAGCGAGCACCAAGGTGCTGGGGCTCGGCAGGCGCATGGGAAGGGGCTCACACTCTCCCTGGCGTTTGGGGGTTTGCATTACCGTGCCGTGCTCGTGGCTTTTGCCTGGAGAGACCTCGGTGGTGAAGTTCCCACAGCCGAGCGCTGATTTCCTGCCATCTGGAAAAGGAGAGATATCACTAAGGAGACATCAGAAGTTAGTCAGCGCCGAAAATCCCCATTCGGTCGCAATTACTCATCCTTTGGGCTGAACCACCCGTTTGAGAGACACACGTGGAGGGGCTTTGGAGAGGTGGTTTCACATGGGGGGTCCATGTGAGCACAGGCTGGGACACCCAGAGAGGGCCTTGGCGAGGGAAAAGCCGTTTGGTTCTGGGTGGTGTTGTCTGTTGCCTGAAATTCAGCGTGTCCTTGCTGGTGGGACCCTTATTTTAGGTTCAGCATCTCTGGTTGGTAACCCCATAAACCTTCCCCTTGCTCAGATGTTGTTGGTGAAGCCAGTTCTTCCCACCAGTGCTGGCAGCGCTGGGGTTAAGGGAGATGTGGGAAGCAGAAAGCAAGGGGATGCTTTGGGAAGCGTTTCTGGGAGTGAGGAGGAGGAGGAGGAGGAGGTGGAGGTGTGGTGGAAGCAGATGTCCTTCTGCTCTCCAAAATGTCTGTCCAGCCCTTCTCCAGGGCAGGACACCTCGCTCTGCTCCTTCTCCTGCCTGGCACAGGGTAGTCGTTAAATATTTGTTTCAGAGCTGAGTCACAGCGAGGTTAATGAACTAAATCACTGGAATCCTTTATGAGCAAAGGAAAACAAGGGTGTTGGACACGCTCACCCTCAGGCTGTTGGTGAGATTGTCTTTGTAGGGATCCTCATGGAGCACTGGGTTCTCAGGCTGGCTGATAGCTGTGTTGCAGGTACCCCTGGTTGGGTGTCCAGGCTTTCCACAGGGCTCCCTCCCTGCCAGGCTGCTTCAGAGCCCTGGAGTTTGTTTTGCAGCGTGCAGAGAGCTCGGACCAGCCCGGCATGCCAGGCTTATCAGCCTGATCCTTTTGTGGGTTTGGCTGTTCTAACCAGCAACTCCATATATAAACAGTAACAGGAGAACAGCCGGGGAATCGGTGCTTCCATGTCACCATTTATTTCTTATAACTGTGGAATAATTATCCATGAGCAGACAGCCCTGGACAGTGTCTGTCACCTCACCCTATGCTCATGTCCTGGAGGGACACCTCCCCACCCTCCAGTTGCTGAGCTCCACTGGGAAGAAACAGCTTTTTCTTTGGAAATGAGGCAAAGAAAGTCAAAGCAGCACCTCTTGCTCATGCTGGGAACTGTGTTAGGGGGTTTTGGAGGGGTTTGGTGTGTTTGGGGGTTTTGCCTGCCTTGTGTTTCTTTGGAGGCAAAGCGATGTCTCGGTGTGGAGAGCTGGGCCCTCCACGAGCTGCTGCTCCACTGGGGCAGATCTTGTATCCAAGTGGGGATTTTTTGTTGCCATCCATGTCCGTGCATTCTTGGGCACGAGGAGGAGGCACGCTTGGGAAAGCAGGCGGCTGGCTGCCATCCCCTCTGCTTTCCAAGGGGAAAATGTTGCGACAGGGCCAAGGGCTCCAATCCTGCCCAGCGCTGGGTGCGGGGTGACCTGTGCTCTGCATGGGCTCGTGGGCCCAGGGAGCAGAGTAAGCCAGGAAGGACTCTGCTCCCTCTTTTTGGGGCTTTGGGCTATTTGCTGTGGGGATACAGCAGGTTTGTCCCTTGGGACCAGGCTGTGCAGCTCTGGAGGGGGACCGTGCACAGGGCGCCTCGTGGTTCCAGCAGATCCCCAGCTCTGATAAAGAGCACTTATCTCCTCTGCAGAAGCAGGATTCTCCCTGCTGCCTCTCTCGACAATGGGGAGCTTCATTCGCTCTCCTCCCCCTTCCCTATCAAATCTTTTTTGGTTTAAAAAGCTTTTCCCCACAGGATTCCCAGGCAGGACCGTGCCAAATCCGTGGTAAACGACTCGCACATTAATTGCCTATTGCCTTTGTCTTTCGAAATACAGTGAGCTCCTCGCTGCCTGTAATTTCGTGGTTAACAAAACTCATATGATGTCAGGTCTCAGTTCTCAATAGCTTCGCTGTGAGAATTGCTTGGGGTTTTTCCCCAGGAGCGTTATTTCCCAATCTGATGTCTGGCTGCAGCCAGTGCTCTCATTCCTTCCCCAGTTTTCTCTCTCTGCCTCACTCCAGTGCTTGGAAAAATGGGATTTACCCATTTAAAAGCAGAGGTGAATGTGGATAGATCCCGAGCTGTGCTCCACACCAGCAGATTACTGTGACATTTGTGTTACTGGGTCAAGGCAAGGGAGGAGTTTGAAAAAACTTGCACAATTCTAATAAAATCAGTGCAAGTAGCTACTGCATCTTCACTGGAAAAGAGAGCCTGTTGTATCTATGGGGAGGGGCTGGAAGAGCAGCTCACAGCTTATAAATACCTTTTCTCTCCCACCCTTTCCACCCCCAGCTCTTCCAGAAGGAGCAGGTGGATCCTCTGCAGGTTAAACTACAGCAGGTCAATGGAGTTGGTCAAGGACTCATCCAAAGCGCCGGGAAAAACTGTGACGTCCAGGGGCTGGAGCATGACATGGAAGAGATCAACACCCGCTGGAACACCCTCAACAAGAAGGTGGGAGCGTGGGGAGGGGCTGTAACTGGTTTCTCTCAGTGCCATTGGGGTCTGGTAGAAAAAGGGTGTCATGGACAGGGAGCTGAGGCTCCAACATTGACATTTCCCCAGCCTGACCATGCAGTGGGGTTGTGTTTGGGGTGCAGGTGGCCCAGCGGGTCGCTCAGCTGCAAGAGGCCCTGTTGCACTGCGGGAAGTTTCAGGACGCCCTGGAGCCGCTGCTGAGCTGGCTGGCGGACACTGAGGAGCTCATCTCCAACCAGAAACCTCCCTCTGCAGAGTACAAGGTGGTGAAAGCCCAGATCCAGGAGCAGAAGGTGAGCGAGCACAGGGCGGTGGGTGGCTCAGTGAGAAGCGGGGGAGCTTGGGACAACCAGACAGTATTTTGGGGATCCAGCTGGGACATCCACAAACCTGCTTCTTTCGTGGTGGGTGCTGGTTGCCCACATCCCAGTGCAATGAACAGGCAGCTCGTTTGCCCACACTCAGTATCTCCATCCCCTAAATCACCGCGTCACTTCATTGTCCCGCTGCCTCTTGAAGCGTGCTGGTTTTGCTGGTCGGCCGTGTTTTTCCAGCCCTGGGTTTTGTTTGTGCCGGTAATTCTGCTGTGTCAGGAGCAAGCTGGTGGTGTAGGGACTGGTTTGGGTGTTTGGACAAAGTGAATGTTCAAAGTGTATGAGTGGGGCTGAGGAGGGTGGGTGTTTGCAGAGATAACAGCCCGGGCTGGCGCCTGCCCCTTGGAGCGGGCGGAGGGAAGGTCAAGTGTGGTCAGGGGGAAGTATTTTAGAAATGAATTCTTAAACCGACCTATTGAGATTGGAAAAGGAAATGTATTTCAAGTGGAAGTTAAAAACTTGTTAAGTTTGGTGGGGGTGGTGATGGGGAAGGCTTGGAAAGCTTTTCCAGCACAGAAGTGGTTTGAACAGTGTAAAAGAGGGAAGGGGAAAGGGGAAAGAAGAAACAAAAAGGAGAGGGGAAAGGAATGGTAAGAGGAAAAGGAGGGGAAGGGAATAGGAAAGGAACGGTGAAAGGAAAATGGAAATGAAAATGTGAAGGAAAGGGAATAGAATAGAATAAATAGAATGAAATTTCTCTTGGAAGGGACCTACAGTGATCAGCATGTCCAGCTGCCTGACCACTTCAGGGCTGACCAAAGTAAAGCATGCTATTGTTATAATGTAATATAATATAACTCTGTATGTTTTTTGGCTGGTTTTGATGGCAGAGCTGTTCCCCCTGGGCCGGGTCTGGTCTCAGCCCTGTGCTGATGGTGGTTCTGAGCCACAATTAGAGATCTGGCCTCTCCAAGGGCTGGAATTGTTTCTGCTGCCCCAGTGCAGTAACTTTCTTGATCTCTGTCTGTGATGCCAAAGCTGCTCCAGCGGCTCCTGGATGATCGCAAAGCCACTGTCGAGATGATCCAAGCGGAGGGCGACCGGATCGCGCAGTCGGCCGAGCCTGCGGATCGGGAGAAGATCGTGGGGCAGCTGGAGAGCCTGGCACGGCGCTGGGCAGGGCTGCTGGGCCGGGCAGCTGCCAGGTGAGAGGGACTGGGACCAGCTCATCCTGCGAGTCTCAGTGCCCCCAGGGGCATGGGGTTACAGCATTCGGGAAGCTGGCAGAGATTTCTGCGCAGGTACATCCTGGAAACCTGGAAACAGCTGGAAAACATGGGAAATCAAAGGCTGTTTGGGAGCTGAAGCTGATAACGGTGGTTTACAATGGCAGGGAAGAGCTCAGATTAAATAATTTCCCTGCAGGGGAGGGATGTTATTTTTATTCCTGTAAGCATTAGCATCCTGTTGACACCTTTCTGCTGCCAGAATCTTGTTTATGAGTTGCTTGTTGCTACCTAGGCTGATATCTGAGGCTATGAAGACACTTCTGAGGGCCAGATTTGTCCCTCTCAGTGCTTTTAATCACTGACAACAAGCTGGACTGTTCATCCAGAACTGTCCATCCAGAACTTGTACTGTTGCTGGGTTGTCTTTGACCAGAAGCTCAGCAGCCCTAAAGCACCAAGAGTCTGGCCTCAAGCTGAGCATGTCAAAGGATCTTCAAGATAGTGATAAGGATGGAAAAAAAGGGGTTGGAAATTTCAACCCCCTGCCATATGCTGGGACACCTTCCACTAGACCAGGTTGCTCCAAGCCCTTTCCAACCTGGCCTTTGAACACTTATTTCCTTCTTATTTTACTATTCCTTCTTGCAGGCAGAAGCAGCTGGAGGACATCTTGGTCCTGGCAAAGCAGTTCCACGAAACCACAGAGCCCGTGTCGGACTGGCTGTCGGTGACAGAGAAGAAACTGGCCAACTCTGAGCCCATTGGTACCCAAACTGCCAAAATCCAGCAGCAGATCAGCCGGCACAAGGTAGGACCTGTGCGTGAGTGGGATGGAGGTGTTCGGTGTCAGGTCCCTCTCTGGTGGTTGCTGCCACCACAGCGAGGGGGTTTTTGGCACAAACAAGTATTGGAAGAGTTTACCCAGGCTGTTTTATGTGTGGAGAAGGCTGCAAGCCCTGGCCCACCGGTGTGGGTGAACACTAAACCGATGTCTTTGCACCTCACAGCAAATATATCTGGGTTTGGAGAGAAAAAACATCCCTGCTGTGTTTCTTTTTAATTTTGATGCCGTTTGCCCGTTCACGGGGCAGGTTTTGTGTCTCCTCCATTTCTTCAGTTTGCGCTCATTGTTTGTTCCCCCTTTTACGTGTTTCATTTATTTAATTTAATTTATTTTATTTCATTTCATTTTATTTTATCCATATTTCACTCATTTTCCTTTTTCTGTTGTCCATTTTTATCCTCCCGCCATTCAGGCTCTAGAGGAAGAGATAGAGAGCCACGCTGCCAACGTGTCTCGGGCGGTCGGGGTCGGGCAGTCCCTCTCCTCCCTGAGCTGTGCCGCCGAGCAGAGGCTGCTGGCAGAGAAATTAGACTCTCTGCAGGCCCGCTACGGCGAGGTCCACGACCGGTGCTGCCGGAAGGCAGCACTGCTGGCTCAGGCTCTGGCCAACGCCAGGCTTTTTGGGGAGGAGGAGGTGGAAGTGCTCAACTGGCTGGCTGAGGTCGAGGACAAGCTGGGCTCGGTATCCGTAAAGGATTACAAACGGGACGTCCTGCAGAAGCAGCATGCAGACCAGCTGGTATTTTCCCTTTTTTCTTCCATGTTTATGTTGTTTATTTTGTTGCATTTGTCTGGTTTTATTTTGGTTTCTGGTCTGACTTTAATTTTGCAAAGCTCGTTCCGCTGCTGGTTCTCTTCTTCTTCGAGGCTTGGAGAAGCGGGAAGACGTTTCATGTGTTATAAACAATAATTGTGGCCCCAAAAATGGGTTTCCCGGGGCGGGGGGAACTTCAAATGGTTCGTTTGCTTTGTGAACAATGTCTGAGCCAGCTTGGCCACCCTGTGCCTTTAGAAAGCTGGATGCTGTTTCCAAGATTGAGAGCTGGAAGAGCTTGGTGGGGTTTTGGAGTCAGACTGGCCACCAAGGAAGCCTGCTTCCACTCCTGGGGCTGTGCAGGCTCTTCTCAAGAGTGAAGTTCTGTCTAATACAAGGGCAAGTCCTTTTGTAACCCAGATCCAGTGGGTTGGGATGGGATTTGTCTAAGATTTGAGCCTTTGGGTCCCAGAAGTCTCAATAATTCCTGTAGAAGGATGTCTGGACAATTATCAGATGGGTTGTCCACCCTTCCTGTGCTCAGTAGGAAAGTTTGTGCTCTTTGTAGCATCTCTGGCTGGCAGGACACAGGGACCTGCCTGCAGCAGAATAACCCAGATTTGCCTTTTCCTCCAGGCTTTGAATGAGGAAATTGTGAACAGGAAGAAGAACGTGGACCAAGCCATTAGAAATGGACAAGCTCTTTTGAAGCAAACCACAGGTAACGCTGAAATCTTGGCATGGGAAACCCCCAGTCCTCCTCACGCCCTTCCCTGGGAAGCCCATGCTGTGCAGTGATCGCTGTTCAGGGGAGGCTGTTCTCCTTCAGGTCCTTATTTCCTTTTGGAATCTTCCAGAGTAGCTGTTTTGCATCCAGACCTGGATGCTGAGCCACAAACTCTCCAGCCTAGGACTGGGTTGGTCCCAAATCCCAACCTCGCAGCCTGGAGAGCGGGTGATTCCCACCGCTGCCGGGGGGGATGCTCGGAGCTGAGCAGCCCTGCAGCACCAGGGAGGGTTTTCTCATTGCATCCAGCTGCTAAATCACATGGGAAGAGGTTAAAAATACCCCCAACCCTTTCCTAATATTGCTTTCCCATACTGAGCAGTTGTTGCTGTTGCCACGTGGGTGTGAGTTTATGTTTATGAGTGGGAAGAAAGGTCGGGGCGATGCATTTCCTTCAGATGTGGTCTGCTCGGAGCAGATGTACAGCCCTCTGTCCTTGTGGGAGCTGTGGAGCAGGAAGAGTGATTACAAAGGATTTGGCATGCATTTTCATGTCCTCTTGGAAATAGCAGTAAAGAGTGAACTGGCCCTTTTTTTCCTGGAGTTGTGACACGTTAGTCGAGAACTGAGTTGGTGTGGTTTTGGAGCTCGTGGCAAAGCCAGTTTTAGCAGCTTCTAGCCCAGGGAAGACATGGACTTTACTCTGACTGATGGAAAATGGGAGAGCAGCTTCCTGGCTGTAAAAACAGGCTGAAGTTGTATTAATACAAAGAGACGTGAGGGTGGAATTAGGTGTCTAAAATGAGGGGGAACAGGGCAGGTGGCTGCTGAAACCTCCATGCAACCCAGCCCAGCATCATTTGCCCCTCGCCGCTGTCTCGCAGGGGAGGAGGTGTTGCTGATCCAGGAGAAGCTGGATGGGATTAAGACCCGCTATTCCGACATCACCGCCGCCAGCTCCAAAGCCCTGCGCACGCTGGAGCAGGCTCGGCAGCTGGCCACCAAGTTCCAATCCACACACGAGGAGCTCACCAGGCTGGATGAGCAAGGTGGAGGAGGAGCTGGCCTCCAGTGGGGCACAGTCCCCCGCCGGAGAGCAGATCCCCCAGTTCCAGCAGCGGCAAAAGGTGGGCGCTGGGATGGGGGCGTGAGGGTGGGAACTCGTGGGGTTTCGCTCGTTGTTTGAGAGGCCGGGGAGGAGCTGGAGTGGGAGGTGACCTGCTGGGAAGGACATGTGTCCATGGGTGCCTTCCACAGGAGCTGAAGAAGGAGGTGATGGAGCACAGGCTGGTGCTGGACACGGTGAACGAGGTGAGCCGGGCTCTCCTGGAGCTGGTTCCCTGGCGAGCCCGGGAAGGGCTGGATAAGCTCGTGTCGGACACCAACGAGCGCTACAAGCTGGTCAGTGACACCATCAAGCAGAGGGTGGAAGAAATCGATGCTGCTATTCAGAGGTCTCAACAGGTAATTTAATAACCCCTCTGGGGACTGATGGGTTTTCTTGGGAGAATGGGAGCGATAAGCTTGGCCCTGCTCCACTTGTACAGTGCAATGGCAGCAGGAGGGATGGCAAGCACAGCCAGACAGGAGGGCCAAATCCCATTGGGAATGCCAAGAAATGGACCACAGCAGCAGCATGTGGCAGCAGGGCTGTTTCCTGACCAGTCCCATTGCATGTGGTTGGGATGGGATAATTCTGGGGCAGCACCATGTCATCCTGCCTGCAGGCTTCTGCTGGCAGGGGTGATGTAAATGGTGTAAAACCAATGACAGGTGACTTTCAAGCCTGGAAAAACATTATCCCCTGCTGTGAGAGCACAGGGATTTGTTCCAGGCGAACAGTCAGCCCCAAAAAGGCTTGTCCTGCGCAGACTGGAGGCTGTGGAGTGCAGTGAATGACTGCCCTTGCTCTGTGGAGCGCTGCGTCCATGGCACTGATCCTGCAAGCAAAATGCTTGTGTTTACAGGGATGTCCATTTCCCTGCAGGCAGGGAGGGTGCAGGGAAAGGTGGCTGCTCCAACATGCCCCAAAACCAGCTTGCAGGAGTCACCTGCATCCACCCTGATGTCCCCTTCTCCTCCCCACCTCCGTGTGCCGGGGCGAAGTGTTTGTTCCCGAGATTTTCCCGCCATCCCCAGCTCTCCATGTGCTCCATCCCTGCTGCCCATCACTAACCACTGCCCTTCCTCTCCCCTGTGCCAGTATGAGCAGGCAGCTGACGCAGAGCTGGCCTGGGTGGCCGAGACCAAGCGGAAGCTGATGGCTCTCGGTCCCATCCGCCTGGAGCAGGACCAGACAACGGCTCAGCTGCAGGTGCAGAAGGTCCGTGTGCACCTCATGGGTGGGGGAGACGGGGTGGGCAACGAGGAGGGATGGCCCAATTTGGGTGATGGGATGTGGTTTGGGTCACGGGATGCCATTTGGGGGAGCAGCTTTGCCCTGGGGTGTGTAGTGCCAAGCCCAGAGCTGCGGGAGAGATGCAACACTTGTCCTTGGAAAGGGAAAGGGAAAAAAAAAAAAAAAAAAGGAGAAAGAGAATTTAGGGAAGTTAAGTGTTGGGCTGCTAAAGGAGAAAGCTTCCTGTCTGTTTGCAGGACCTGTTTAGGGATAGGTGGGTGCTCTTGCCAGGAATCCCCTTGAGAGAGCTGCTCCCTTGGAAGCCTTTCCGTGTGGCCACCGGAGCAAGCTCTGCTGGGATCTTGCTGGCACTGGCAGCAGGAAGGGTTTAGAAAAATGTATATATTGATTAATGAGGGTGCTTTTCCATTTGCTTTTTGCTCATTGTTCCCTGCAGTGGGGGACTCCTCAGTTCCCTCCAGGCAGCCAGACATGGAACAAAGAGGCGCTGGGTTCTTTTTTTTTTTTTATATCTTTGAGATGAGCTCATGCCTGAAAGAACGTGCACTTTAAATAAACGGCCCTTTTCTTCCCTTTGCTTGGGCAATCAGAGCAGCTTACAGGCTTATTGGATTTAAAATTAAAAAAAAAGAAGGAAAATGAGAGTGTTATAAGGGTGGGGGGACTGAACCATCAAGCATTAAGTTAAATTGAGCTCAGCTTCCAGCTGTTAATCGTGTGGACCTTGGGAATGGCAAAGTTATAGGTAGATGCAGTTCTGGAGAGCATTGTTTTGGGGGATGTTTGCTAATGGGTGGATGATGGAGCTTTTCCTCTGGTGAGGACCTTGGGTGTGGAAGTGATTGTACCTCATTTTAAGAGCTGTATTCAGGTCTTTGAAAGAGAGAAGTTGATGTAGATGAGTCATGAGAAAAACAGGCAGGAATCTGCATTTCCAGCCAGATTTTCAGTGGGCCACAGGACACTTGTGATGAGTTTTGTGCGGTCTCTGCAGCGCCCAGTGCTGGCAGGAGGATCTCATGGATGGGCTGGGGAGAGGTTGAGCTGGGGGAGAGGTTGGGCTCAGCTCTGATTTTCTTGCCTTCCTTTGGACCTTTCCTTCCTACAGGCTTTTTCCATCGACATCATTCGTCACAAAGACTCCATGGATGAGCTGTTCAGCCAGCGCAACGAGATCTTCGGGACCTGCGGCGAGGAACAGAAAGCTGTTCTCCAGGTGAGCCTGCTCTGCTCTTCACTGCAACAGGGGGCACAGAGAGGGGAGAGAGGCGAATCCTCAGCTCTTGCACAGGCTGGAGTAGTTTAAAATTGCTCCATCTTTAGTAATTCCCACCAGTGTTAGCAGAAATCTCTTTACATTTATTGCTCTCCTTTATTGCCTATTTTTACTGCAGGGTTTGGGAGGGGAGACAGCGGAGATTCCCGAGGCTGCTTTAATTGGAATTACAGCCCATGCACGTGGAAGGCCACCAAAAGCACCTCCTTCTTTTCCAGCGCTCATGCCTGAAAGAACGTGCACTTTAAATAAACGGCCCTTTTCTTCCCTTTGCTTGGGCAATCAGAGCAGCTTACAGGCTTATTTGATTTAAAATTAAAAAAAAAAAAGGAAAATGAGAGTGTTATAAGGGTGGGGGGACTGAACCATCAAGCATTAAGTTAAATTGAGCTCAGCTTCCAGCTGTTAATCGTGTGGACCTTGGGAATGGCAAAGTTATAGGTAGATGCAGTTCTGGAGAGCATTGTTTTGGGGGATGTTTGCTAATGGGTGGATGATGGAGCTTTTCCTCTGGTGAGGACCTTGGGTGTGGAAGTGATTGTACCTCATTTTAAGAGCTGTATTCAGGTCTTTGAAAGAGAGAGGTTGATGTAGATGAGTCATGAGAAAAACAGGCAGGAATCTGCATTTCCAGCCAGATTTTCAGTGGGCCACAGGACACTTGTGATGAGTTTTGTGCGGTCTCTGCGGAGCCCAGTGCTGGCAGGAGGATCTCATGGATGGGCTGGGGAGAGGTTGAGCTGGGGGAGAGGTTGGGCTCAGCTCTGATTTTCTTGCCTTCCTTTGGACCTTTCCTTCCTACAGGCTTTTTCCATCGACATCATTCGTCACAAAGACTCCATGGATGAGCTGTTCAGCCAGCGCAACGAGATCTTCGGGACCTGCGGTGAGGAACAGAAAGCTGTTCTCCAGGTGAGCCTGCTCTGCTCTTCGCGGCAACAGGGGGCACAGAGAGGGGAGAGAGGCGAATCCTCAGCTCTTGCACAGGCTGGAGTAGTTTAAAATTGCTCCATCTTTAGTAATTCCCACCAGTGTTAGCAGAAATCTCTTTACATTTATTGCTCTCCTTTATTGCCTATTTTTACTGCAGGGTTTGGGGAGGGGGAGACAGCGGAGATTCCCGAGGCTGCTTTAATTGGAATTACAGCCCATGCACGTGGAAGGCCACCAAAAGCACCTCCTTCTTTTCCAGCTCACAGCGTGGAGCTGGCGCTTTTCCTGGGCCCTTTTGCATCTCCCTCCCTTTTTTTTTTTTTTTTTTTATTTCCAGGAGAAAACCGAGTCCCTGGTGCAACAGTACGAAGCCGTGAGCCAGCTCAACTCAGGAGCGCTACGCTCGCTTGGAACGTGCCCAGGTCCTGGTCAACCAGTTTTGGGAGACCTACGAGGAGCTGAACCCGTGGATCGAGGAGACTCAAGCCCTCCTCTCCCAGCTGCCACCTCCAGCCATCGACCACGAGCAGCTCAAGCAGCAGCAGGATGACATGAGGGTAAGAGGCTGAGGCGTTTGCATCTCCTGTCCAGGAGTTCTTCTACCTTAAACAGAATTGCAGCACTTGCAGAGGCAATTTCTTGAATTTACCTCGTTTTTCCCCCTATTATTTTCTTTTGGGGGATCCTGCTTGTACAATCCAAGTGTGCCATGTGGAAATCGTGTTGGAGCACTCCTTACCAAAATGCAGCTTGCACCCAAGGGAGCCTGGCTGCTTTTGCATCTCCTGCCTGATTGTGGCAGGGAAAACCACTTTGTGCTTTTTGGGTAGAGAGCTGCAAAGCAAAAATTCCCAGTGGGGTCCCCTGTGGAGCTGTGGGGAGGGCCAGGAGCTGGGGAAGGACCCGTGCCGGGTGTTGTGCCATAGCCATGTTAGGAAGAGCCGAGCTCCATGTGCTTGGCAGATGCTGGGGCATGAAATCCACGGGGTGAGTTCCTACCAGATACGATCGCTGCTCTTGGAGTGCTGCGTGGAATAAATAGGCAGCGACTTGAAACAGATTTCCAAACAAATCTGGGTGGTTTTTTTTTTCCCTTCTATTCCCTAGCAACTGAGGGAGTCCATCGCTGAACACAAACCTCATATCGACAAGCTGCTGAAAATCGGGCCGCAGCTCAAGGACCTCAACCCCGAGGAAGGAGAGATGGTGCAGGAGAAATACTCCACGGCCGAGGCCACGTATGCCAAAATCAAGGAGGAGGTGTGCCAGCGGGCCCTCGCGCTCGACGAGGCCGTCTCCCAGTCCACCCAGGTACGCTGGGGTGCCGAGGAGACGAATCTTCTTCTCGCAGTCCCCTGGGGAAGCCACACGCTTTGGAATGCGGTTTTATTCCGATTGTAAAACCCTTTATAAGGAATAACGTGGTCAGACACCCCCGGGGTAGTTTCCTGCTGCTCAGCTCTGGCTGCGGGAGCAGAGGGGAAAAAGGCTTTTTTGAGGCTCGACGTAGTAAATAGGCTAATAAATTTTTACAACCTCAATAATGATGCTGGTTCAAAGGGGCTGCTTTTGGCATCTGCCCAAGGTTGGAAGGGCCCAGAGAGCCTCTTGAAAGAGCTTGAAGAGAGAATTTTCAATTCTGATAAGCTGTGAGTGCAGTGAAGAGCCCTAAGATCCTTTGTATGGGAGAGGTAACAGTTGTCTCCATGGTCTGGGCATCCCCCAAGGAGGTGGGTGAGTGCAGGAGAGATAGGAAAGGAAGGGCAGAGACTGGAGGTGCTAAAGTCCATAAAGAGGGTGAAGTGTTCCTGCCACTGAGGGTTGATGACCCCCAGTTACGTTTCATTTCACCCCCTGTTACCGTAGTGCAGTTGGTTTTTGTCATGTCTGGGTGTTTATTTTTTTAATTCCTGTATTGTGTAGTCACTTCTCTTGGTTTGCACTTGTATTAACTCCGAGTTTTTCCCCCCACATTCCCTTCCCCTCTCATCTCTCACTCCCATTGTGGAATGTGTTATCTGTGTGTGTTGCTGCCTGTGCCCGTCCTCCCCACATGGTCCCATTTCATTCTTGTGTTGACTGCGCCCCACCATTGCAGATTTCGGAGGTAAGCGAGTCCCCCACCACAGATATTCATTTTCACTCTTTGGGCTGATTCTGTTTTACACCCGGACTTTTTTATTTCTGGCCCATGCACAGCTCAGCAGAACATGCTTAAAACATTAACTCCAGGGGCCTGAAACCACATTTTTGGGATGGCTTTCCTTGCCTTGCCGCCTGGTCTTGGCCGCTCGTTCCGCTGGGAATGCTTCCTGCAAAGCACAGGTTTTGCTTTCGGAGGGGTTTGCCCTGAGCTTCCTGCTCTGGCTGGACATGCTGGTTTGCTCCTGCTTGTTGGCTGAGCCAGCGTGTCCTGATCAACTTTGCACCAAGAGCCCGTCCCCTCTCTGCTGGTAGAGCCTGGGATTTGGTGGACACCAGCCACCAGTGTGTTCCCAGTGGGAACTGGGAGAGGGACCAGAGCTGGCAGCCACAGTGCAGAGCTGCCCTTCCCACCAGCAGAGACGATTTGGGATCTTTAAGGCCAAAGTTGACTTTTCTATAAAAAAAAAAACACATAAGAAACCCTGCTAGACCCCCTTCCTCTCTCACCTCTGGCTTTCTGGTTCTGCTTTTGAAGCTCCAGCTCTGTGGCAGCTCCTCCCCACCCGCATGCAGCCTCCCACCACCTCCCGCTGACCCTGCTAGGGTGGGTTTCCACCAGCCTTGCACCACCCGGAGATTCCCATCGACACCAAACACGGGCACTTTTCCAGCAGCACCTCTGCCCGGGTGCCCCAACAACCAGGACTGGGGTTTTCTTGCCCACCCACAAAAAAACAAGACAAGATCTCGTAGGGTTGAACCCGGTGACAAGTCACTGCCGTGTTTGGGTCAGAGGTGCCGGTGCCGGCTCTGGGAGTCTCCTTGGCTGCTCTGTTGGCTCTGTTGGAGCAGGGCAGGTGTGAGCAGGAGGCTGCAGGTGTCCTTGCTGCTGCAGGTGGCATTGCTGCTGCAGGTGACATTGCTGCTCTGGGTGACATTGCTGCTGCAGGTGACATTACTGCTGCAGGTGACATTGCTGCTCTGGGTGGCATTGCTGCTGCAGGTGACATTGCTGCTGCAGGTGGCATTGCTGTCGCGGGCAATGTCCGTCCTCTCCCGAGAGTCCGTGGGGGCAGCGCTCAGGGCTGTGGCGTCACTCAATCCCCTCTCCCCTTCCCTGACGGATCTGCTCCCCTCCAGTTCCACGACAAGATCGAGCCCATGCTGGAGACGCTGGAGAACCTCTCCTCCCGCCTGCGGCTGCCGCCCCTCATCCCCGCCGAGGTCGATAAGATCCGGGAGTGCATCAGCGAGAATAAAAACTCCACCGTGGAGCTGGAGAAGCTGCAGCCCTCCTTCGAGGCTCTGAAACGCCGTGGGGAAGAGCTGATCGGTCGGTCCCAGGGAGCAGACAAGGACCTGGCAGCCAAAGGTATCTCCTTTGGTGGATTTAACAGTGCCCAGCTTCTCCTCCCCAGCTAGGGAGGCTTTGATGTCCCAGGGGTGTGTTTTGGAGGTTCTCCTGGCCTTAGGAGGAGGGATGAATCCTCTGGATGGAGATGGCTGGTGCCTGCTTCCATCTGGAGCAGACAGGGTGGCATCAACCCGAGGAGAAAGAAGTATTTGTGGCTTCTCAGCCAAGCTGAGCCCTCACCCTGAGCTGGTCTCTTGTTGGTGGCCCCTGTGACATGATTTGTTGATGTTGATTCAGCATCTAATGGAGGGAAGGAACATCCCCAGCACAAAAAGACCCATCAACACGATTGGCACTAATTGGCACCTTCCTTGGCAGCTCAACAGTCAGCTCATGGACTGAGTGAGCAGAGACTTCATGCTAGAGGTGGCCAGAACAGAGGTTCGTTGGAGGGAGGGAGTGTGGGCAAATTTGCCCTGAGCTTGCCTGCACATAAATAAAGGCTTTATTTCTGCAAGCTGGAGTTTCTCACGTCCCTCAGTATCTCCCAGAGTTAATGCTCTGATAGTCCTGCTCCTCTTTAATTCCCTTTTGAATGTTCTCTTGGCTATTTCTAAGTGTTATCAAAATGCTTTCGAGTTGTAAAAAGGTTTCCTTCTTCACTGAATATTTTAACTTCCTTCCTCAGTAATCCAGGACAAGTTGGATCAGATGGTTTTCTACTGGGAAGACATCAAAGCTCGGACAGAGGAACGTGAAATGAAGTTCCTTGATGTCCTGGAGCTTGCAGAGAAGTTCTGGTACGACATGGCAGCCCTCCTGACAACCATCAAGGACACACAGGACATTGTTCATGATCTGGAGAGCCCAGGCATTGACCCCTCCATCATCAAGCAGCAGGTGGAAGCAGCAGAGGTGAGGCCCATGGGACTGTACCTCAGTATGGAGCTCATCTGCCCCCAGCTTGTCCTCTAAACTGGGAAGACCTTAGATGTGAGCGTGGCCAGAAGCAGTTGTAAATCAGTTTTGTAGGCAGTCAGTCGGATTAGGAAGAGTTATTTCCACTGCAGTTTGGAACTGCAAGGAATAAACCTGAAGTGTATTTCACATATCCTTCACCTTAAATCACTTTATCTGCTACTGTTCTGGGAAGCGTATGAAGCGTGTGGTCAGAGCTGCGTGCCCACATGTTTGGAGTGATGTGGAAGCTTGCACAGCTTTGCTCACAACCCAAAGGCTGTCTGGCGTGGGAAGTGTATATTTAGCTTCTGGTTAGACTGGAGATAAGTGCTTGGATTTGTGTGCTGATGGGTTGTTTCAAATAAATGGCGAAATCGACTTCAGGTGGATGTGACTTGACCCGGACCTTGAGGAGCAGGGATGTTTCTTAATGCTTTGCTAAGTTTAGCCTTGCTGTTCCCCTTGGTTTTGCACCTTTTGAGTCTCAAAACCTCATGCCTATATTGACAAAATACTCCTGTAAACAGCACGTCTCCTGTAAACAACATCTTCAGCCAGGCAGTTCAGGCTCACATCTAAATACAGATGTTCTTATTTTGGTTCCCATCCTGTGGGCAGAGGCGGGAGTGGATCAGGGTGGTGGTGACAACGTTGGCCACCTACTCCTGGGATCTGGAGTCGGGCTGTTGGCCAAGGTGCAGGACACTGGAGCAGGAAGGACTCTCTGTTCTTTAGCCCTCCTGCTCTTGGGGCAGTTTTGGAAGAGCATTTAATAATAAAGGTTTTTCTGTGGCTGTGTCCATGCAGACTATTAAAGAGGAGACGGATGGGTTGCACGAAGAGCTGGAGTTCATCCGCCTCCTTGGAACTGATTTGATTTTTGCCTGTGGCGAAACTGAGAAACCAGAAGTGAAAAAGAGCATTGATGAGGTAGGAAAAGCCAGCAGCTTCTCCTTCAGATAAAATCAGGTGGGAGCAAGTGGGAGCTCTGGTTGAAGAGCCGAACGAATTCTGTGGGCAATCTTGTGTTCCGCAGATGAACAACGCGTGGGAAAATCTAAACAAAACGTGGAAGGAGAGGCTGGAAAAGCTCGAGGAAGCGATGCAGTCGGCTGTGCAGTACCAAGATACGCTTCAAGTAAGAGGCAGGGCTGTTGGTGTGGAGTGGGTGGACCTTGGGAACACCACTGCAAGTCCAGGAAACATCTCCTGGGCGAGCGTTTGCAGGCTCTGATAGAGCCTGACCTGAACAGCCAGCTCTGAGGAAGAGCAGATAGTTTGCATTTATCTTCCCAAATCTATCCCATTCCTGCACAGAGCAGCAGGGTGAGCTGGCTGCTGGCAGCTCCTCATGCTGGAAGCAGGAGAGGGAAGGAAAGAGAGAGCTGGCCAAGCACCTCTGCCCTGAAAGACGAGTTTTGTGGCTGTGGGGTGGCGGAGGGACCATCCCTGTTCCCTGACCAGCTGCGGGGGGGACACTTTACCATTCACTTTGCTCATGTTGTCCATGCTCTTTCCAGGCCATGTTTGACTGGCTGGACAACGCTGTGATCAAACTCTGCAACATGTCACCTGTTGGCACCGACCTCAGCACGGTCAAGGAGCAGATGAATGAGATGAAGGTACGGGGGCGGAGAGGGACCGGTTCCCCGGCACTGCTCAACCTCACAGAGCTCCAGTGATTCATTTGGTTCTGGTTTTTGTCCTACTTGCTTTGGCAGGAGTTTAAAATGGAGGTTTACCAGCAGCAGATTGAGATGGAAAAGCTTAATCACCAAGGTGAACTGATGCTAAAAAAGGCTACGGATGAGACAGACAGGGACATCATTAAGGAACCACTGACAGAGCTGAAACATCTCTGGGAGAATTTGGGCGAGAAGATTGCTCACAGACAGGTAGAGTGAAGACCTGGGGCTCTCACAAGTGTGGGGTTGAAACTCACCATGATACTCCCAGTTATTAAAATTTCCCTTTTCCATCCCTGCCCTCGCCCAGCACAAGTTGGAAGCAGCTCTGCTGGCACTTGGCCAGTTCCAGCACGCCTTGGCGGAGCTGATGGCCTGGCTGACCCACACCGAGGAGCTGCTGGACGCCCAAAAACCCATCAGTGGAGACCCGAAAGTCATCGAGGTTGAACTCGCAAAGCACCATGTGAGTTTTCCCACTCCGAGGACATTTTTAGTCTGTTCCTGTTGCAGGATCATGTTTCTCCTGAAGGATTTGAGTCCACAACCAGGCAGGGTGTTTAAGAGGGATGTCCAATGTTTGTCCATCTCGTGCAGGTGCTGAAGAACGACGTCCTGGCCCACCAAGCAACTGTGGAGACAGTGAACAAAGCAGGGAATGAGCTGTTGGAGTCGAGTGCAGGGGACGATGCCAGCAGCCTGCGGAACCGCCTGGAGAAGCTGAATTCCTGCTGGGAGTCAGTGCTGCAGAAGACAGAGGAGAGGGAGCAGCAGCTGCAGTCCACTCTCCAGCAGGTCAGGAAGAGGCATTGGGAATACCCCCCTGTGCAGTGGGGAGCTGCTGAGGGTCTGCTTTCCCCTTCATTTTGGGAGAAAGAGTTAGGAAGACACTGGGATTATTTTTGTGCAAGTTTTTCATGTGACTCCTAGTCCTGGAGTGGTTCAGTGCCTGCCCAAAAGCACAGTGAGGACCAGGAACACCCATGGGTCATGGATACACAGTGTATCACCCTTCTGAACACGCTGGCACATCCAGCTCTGCCTTTATATCTGGTTTCAAAGCAAACACAGTGTTAACCCTGGCACATGATCAATGGTGGCTGATGTCATCTGATCCCAGGGCCGATTCTATGTTCCCGAACAGGCTCAGGGTTTCCATGGTGAGATTGAAGACTTCCTCCTGTGGCTAACGAGGATGGAGAGCCAATTGTCGGCATCAAAACCCACAGGAGGTCTGCCAGAAACTGCCCGGGAACAGCTCAATGCCCACATGGTAATTTCTCGGGAGAGGATTTTTTTTTTTAATGCTTTTAATTCAGCAAGTTCCTGTCAAATATCAGCATCAAAACTTCTCCCTTCTGTATCTGATGGGGAGAGGAGGCTGCTATGGTCTCCTCTTACAGCTCATTTTGCACTTGATGCCTGGAACAAGCATCACAAAGCCTTAACCACCTTTTCATGGCTCGAAGTGACGTGCTGCTGTCACTTTGCTGCCTGTCCTGAACCCAATGTTCCCATCACCTGGAGTTTTGCAGCACGACATGTTCCCTCCCCGAGCTCTCCCTTCTCTAATCCTTTGGTGGTGCCTCTTTGCAGGAGCTGTACAGCCAGTTCAAAGCCAAGGAGGAGGTCTACAGCCAACTGCTGGCCAAGGGGCGGCTGATGCTGCTCAACCGCGACGACTCTGGCTCCGGCTCGAAGACGGAGCAGAGCGTGGCACTGCTGGAGCAGAAATGGTGTCTGGTCAGCACCAAGATGGAGGAGAGAAAGGTAACACTGGGGGAGAGATGTGCCCACCCTTGCCCAGCGGTCTGACAGCAGCTGCACCCTGTTTTCCCCCTCTGCTTTCCCACGCAGGGCTGGGGGCTGTTTTTTTAAAACAGCCTCTCTCTTGTTGTTGTAGAGGTTGAGTTTGCCTTTCAGGTGGTGCTGGGTGTCAAGCTGTTAGTGCAGGATTTTTTCTAGATTGTCATCAGAATTGCCTAAACCGCACAGAAAATGAGAGTGAAATTGCCTTTTGGGTTAATTTAGCGGGGTGGGAAGAAGCCTCCCGCAGCTCTCAAAGGCAGGCTTTGTTGGTCAAGCCAAATCCTCCTCCGAGCTGACTCCATCCTCAGCTTTTGGCCGGGGATGAGATAAAACAAGGGCCGCGGTGGCCTCGGCCCAGAATAAATTTGCAGCGCTTGCAGCTGTTGCCATCGAAATATCATCCGCCCCATTCACCGGGCCGCTCTCCCCACGGCGATCCCTTCCCCAGGAAGCTGAGGGGTGACGCAGCTGCTCGTGTGCCGGTGAAGGTCTCCCCTTTCAGGGACCATTCTTGTTTCGAAAGACAAGCGGTGGCTTTCACCGAAACCCCCTCCCCTTGGTAAACAAGTCACGTTCCCGGGCCGAGGCGATGAGGTTCCTGTGAGAGGGACGGCTGGGCAGGGACACAAAGGCCACCTCTGTCTGTGAAGCTGTGAGCTCTCACCCTCTGCCTTGTGTTTCTCCTCTCCCTTTCTCCCTTCCCGCTGCCCCAGGCGAAGCTGGAGGAGGCGCTGGCCCTGGCCACGGATTTCCAGAACTCCCTGCAGGACTTCATCAACTGGCTGACACTGGCTGAGCAGAGCCTGAACGTTGCACCCCCGCCCAGCCTCATCCTCGCCGCGGTGCTGGCCCAGATCGATGAGCACAAGGTACTGACCCTGGGGGCATACAATGACTCCTTCCCCGGGTTTAGAGGGAAAGAGGGTGGCACCTCATCTCCCCTGCACCCACGGGCTGGTCGTGGCCACGTCCAGCTCCCCGTACAGATGGGACAACCTTTGGTGTTCCCAGGTGTTTGCCAACGAGGTGAACGCGCACCGGGATCGCATCATCGAGCTGGATCAGACCGGGAACCAGCTAAAGTTCCTCAGCCAGAAGCAGGATGTGGTTTTGATCAAGAACCTGCTGGTGAGCGTCCAGTCCCGCTGGGAGAAGGTTGTCCAGCGCTCCGTGGAGCGAGGAAGGGCTCTTGATGATGCCAGGAAGCGAGCCAAGCAGGTGAGTGAAGGAGGAAGGGTGTGACAGACATCAAGGAATGCCCAGCCTCGGAGGGCAGGAGGTCTCAGGACCAGGAAGGAACTGGGGACACCACCAGTGTGAAGTTTATGACTTGCTCCTGTTGCTTTGCAGTTCCACGAAGCCTGGAAGAAGCTGATTGACTGGCTGGAGGATGCAGAGAATCACCTGGACTCAGAGCTGGAGATTTCCAATGATCCTGACAAAATCAAGCTCCAGCTCTCCAAACACAAGGTAAGGCTTTGCCCAAGCCAGACTAGTGCTGGATGCAGGGTGGAAGGTGCTCCACTGGGAGGGGAAGCAGGGCCATCAGGACAAGGGAAAAGCCTTCTGCTGCCATGGAAAGCATTCATCTGGGAATCATCAGAGCCAAGGTTTTCTGAAGCAGTTTTGTTTTCTCTCCATTTCCCAGGAGTTCCAGAAGACTCTGGGTGGAAAGCAGCCTGTCTATGACACCACCATCAGGACAGGCAGAGCCCTCAAGGAAAAAGCCTTGCTTCCAGATGACACTCAAAAGCTGGACAATTTACTGGGAGAGGTCCGGGATAAGTGGGACACAGTGTGTGGAAAATCTGTGGAAAGGTAAGTCCAGCCCCAGCACTGTAGCAGCAGTGCTCATGTGCCAGGACTCTTACCCAGGGCATGGCATGGTTGGAGGTCACTGGGACATGACAAAAGGAGTTTAGTTTACTCATGGGAGTTCATGTGGATGTTTGTTTTCCAGGCAGCACAAGCTGGAAGAAGCCCTGCTGTTCTCTGGGCAGTTCATGGATGCACTGCAGGCCTTGGTGGACTGGCTCTACAAGGTGGAACCCCAGTTAGCTGAAGACCAGCCTGTCCATGGGGACCTGGATCTGGTCATGAACCTCATGGATGCTCACAAGGTGAGAGCACCTTTTCCAGCTCTTCTCTGAGACTTGCATGAGGCCTGTTTTCCCCAAGAGCCAAAGAACAGAGACAGAGATGGTGCCTTCATAGTGGATAAGGGGGGATAAAACAGTGAAAAAACGGGAAGGAACTTTCACATCACTGGGAAAGTGACAGGAGCTAACCCTCCTTGGCTTCTGTCCTCCCTCCAGGTGTTCCAGAAGGAGCTGGGGAAGCGCACGGGGACGGTCCAGGTGCTCAAACGCTCTGGCCGGGAGCTCATCGAGAACAGCCGGGACGACACGACCTGGGTGAAGGTGCAGCTGCAGGAGCTGAGCAACCGGTGGGACACGGTCTGCAAGCTGTCAGTGTCCAAACAAACCCGCCTGGAACAGGCCCTGAAGCAGGTGAGGAGAAGACCATAGGTGGAAATGGTCTTGGAGAGCTTTGCTGGGCTCCAGGCCACAAAAGAGGTTTTGGCCTGGCCGGGCAGGACACCCCCAGCCCTGCAGCATTTGCCAGGGAGAGCTGCAGAGCTGCTCTGTGTCAGAGCTGTTGGTGTCAGTGATTTACTGGTGGTTTTCCCAAAAAAAAAAAGCTGGTAAGGGCTGGTTTGAAAAGGGAGGACGGGAAGATCTCATCGATGTGCACAGCAGGGATAGAGCAGTGATCAGAGACAGGCCAGGCTGGTGTTTGCCAATGTTTAGTGCAGGAGAGAGACCTCAAATGAATCTAAAAAAAAAAAAACAACCCGAAAGGTCAAAGGCTCTTAAGCAGCTTTTGCGTCAAGTAGGCAATTTACAGAATAAACTACCCAGGTGCCAGACTGCTCAGGATATGGGCAGTTGTGCTGTTTTTAAAAACATTTAGTTCTTCAGTGCAGCTGATGCTGAGGGAGGGAGGTGCCTGGGTGGCTGCTGGTGCTGCACAAACCCAGGCCAAGAAACTGGGCTTTTTTCCCCCCTTTTTTTATATTTTTCATGTCCCTTTCAGCCCGTTGTCCCCCCAGCTCTCAGCAGTGAATCCAGCAGCCTGTTCTGTGGAGGTGGAAAGCTGACAGCCTGTGCTTTTGTCTCTGCAGGCAGAGGAGTTCAGGACAGCTGTGCACATGCTGCTGGAATGGCTCTCGGAGGCAGAGCAGTCCCTGCGTTTTCGGGGAGCGCTGCCTGACGACGCTGAGGCACTGCAGGCCCTCATCGATGCCCACAAGGTAACAGGGAGCTCCAGGATGCAACCCCGAGCAAAATTTACAGGGGAGGGAGGATACTGCAACATTAATTTGGGCCTTTCTTCAGGAGTTCATGAAGAAAGTGGAGGAGAAGAGGGCGGACGTGAACGCGGCGGTGGGAATGGGGGAGGTCATCCTGGGCGCCTGCCACCCCGACTGCATCACCACCATCAAGCACTGGATCACCATCATCCGAGCCAGGTTCGAGGAGGTGAGTCCCTCAGGATTTGCTCCTCCAGGCTGATGGTTCCAGGGATGGCCACGGGGTGGTGGTGGGTCCTGCCTCAGGTTTCCCACGCTGGGCTGACGCTCGTCCTGCGTTTCCAACAGGTTCTCACGTGGGCAAAGCAGCACCAGCAGAGACTGGAGTCTGCGCTTTCCGAGCTGGTGGCGAATGCAGAGCTGCTGGAAGAGCTCCTGGCTTGGATCCAGTGGGCTGAGACAACCCTGATCCAGCGGGACCAGGAGCCCATGCCACAGAATATCGACCAGGTCAAAGGCCTCATCTCCGAGCACCAGGTGAGCCCAGTGCTGAGCATGGTGGGCGCTCAGGAGAGGGGCAGAGGGGGGGATCAAAACTACAAAGGTTTTCTTGTCCTTTCTGTGTTTGGACAGTCCTTTATGGAGGAGATGACACGGAAACAGCCAGACGTGGACCGGGTGACAAAGACGTACAAGAGAAAAGCTACTGAGCCTCCCCATGGGCCCTTCATCGACAAGTCCCGCAGCAACAGTACGTCTGCTTTGGGTGAAACGTTCTGGCATGGCAGGAAATGAAATACATAGGAAGCTAATTAGCTTTGATTATCAATTAGCAAGGCATCCTGCATTAACAGCCACCAGGAAGGCGGTGGAGACTTGTCAGGAGGGGAAAAAATCCAGGTGGCACTTCCCAAAACGCCCGTGCTGGGTGTGCTGTTCCTGGGGGTGCTTGGGCTGGAACTGCTCTTCCTTCTCTCTTGCTTTGGGATGAGGTTTTGGGGTGGTTTTTTTGTGTTGCTTCTTGAAACCAGAGTCCAGTGTGAGTTCCTGACTGCCAAGGGCATGTGGGTGTAGAGCTGTCACCGTGTCCTCCTACCTGGGGACACTGCATCCCTTGGGAGAGCAGCCAGCAAGGCCGTGGGAGGCTTCCTCTTCCGAAAAATGAAACAGATTTCATTGCTGCACTCCCCTGGACAGCTCAGACTTGCTTGTACCTATCAACACCACCTCAAACAATTAATTTTTCTCCCTTTTTTCCAGGAAAATCCTTGGGTCAGGCCGCCCCCCCCAGCATGCCCATTATCTCCCAGTCGGAAACGAAGAACCCCCGGATAAACCAGCTCTCGGCACGCTGGCAGCAGGTCTGGCTGCTGGCCCTGGAGCGGCAGAGGAAGCTCAACGATGCCCTGGACAGACTGGAGGAGGTAACAGCCCCTGGCTGCTCTGGGAAGGAGGGGAACTGGGAGTTCATCACCAAAAACGTGCAAAAAAAGCATTTTAAATTAGTGCTGCCCCCAGCTCTTGCAGACAGTTCCTGCTGCCTTTCCAAAAACCAAATATTCTTAAAATGTTAAGGCTAAAACCCCTTTGGTAATTAGTTAATTAACTTCATATTAACCAGCTTTGTGACCCTGTAGTTGGTATCTGTAGAGTTAATGACAGCCAGGCCCTGCTTTCCTCCTAGTAATTAGTTTAACAATTACTGTCTCTATCTTTTCCAAACATCTAATGTCATTTTTGTTTTTATTTACGCTTAACAAAGCAGCTATGCCCAGAAGTGAGTGTTTTTGTTTTCTGTTGCTTTTGCTGTAGGTCAGTTCAGTTTATACGTATTCATGTTTTTTCTTCGTTGCTTTTAACCCCAAGAATGTTTAGAGAGAGAAAAAAAAAAAAAAAAAAAGCCCCTACTAAAAATTGTTGTGTTACCTTGGTGTGAGCTGCTTGAGCTGGTGTGGTTGTGGGGGAGTCCTTTTGGGGGATAAGAAGGGTGTTAGTTTGAATTGGAGGGGGCTGAGGCTGGGGCAGGGTTTGTAGAGCTGAGTTGTGCCCCAGCTGGAAGACGAGCAAGAAATCCTTTCTTGGCTGCTCAGAGGGAAAGGGAGAGGGGAGATTCATGCCCAAAATCATGCTGGTGGTGGGAATTCCTCCCTGGTGAGCCCACAGGGTGAGGAAACACACCCAAAAGCCTGAGCAGACGGGGTGGGTGGATGTGTGTGTGTGTCTGTGTGCAAGTAGCTGATCTCCTGCCTGTGTGTCCGCGCGGCGGCGCGGGGGACGCCGCATCCCGCGCCGGTGGTCCCGTGATGCGCAGTCCACGTGCTGGCTGTCGGCTCCGCTGTGTGTCCTGTTCTGGAGAGTCACTTTGGGGCAACCCCCTCGCTGATTGGGGTTGGTCTGGATAGATCCAGACCAACCATCCCCGGGGAGGGCGTTGGCGGCCGGTGTTTTTGGGGTGTGGTGCTGCTCCGCTGGGATTTCTCCCACCGACTCTGCCCGGTTTGCCTTCCAGCTGAAGGAGTTTGCGAACTTCGACTTCGACGTCTGGCGGAAGAAGTACATGCGCTGGATGAACCACAAGAAATCCCGCGTCATGGACTTCTTCCGGCGCATCGACAAGGACCAGGACGGGAAGATCACCCGGCAGGAGTTCATCGACGGCATCCTGGCTTCCAGTAAGTCTGCAGAACAAGCTTGGAAAACAACCATCTTGGTGCCCCCCACATCCCTGCCTCTGATGAATGAGGAGGTCCTTGCATCCTCATTCTTTTCTCCTTCCAGAATTCCCCACCACGAAGCTGGAGATGACGGCGGTGGCCGACATCTTTGACCGCGACGGCGACGGCTACATCGACTACTACGAGTTTGTGGCTGCTCTCCATCCCAACAAGGACGCCTATCGCCCCACCACTGACGCTGACAAGATCGAGGATGAGGTAAAGAGACGAAAAAAGGGGTGCTCGGGGTTGTTGGGGTGGTTCAGGCTGCAGGTTGGCAGTGAGGGAGACACAAAGCAGGTAAAAAACGGGGTTGTGGTGGTGCTGAGCCAAAAACAAGTGGTTGGAATTGATGGTACCTACCATGTTTTTGAAGGAAAGGCTGCGTAGGGCTGTGTTTTATCCAAGAAGTGACTTGTACTGGGATAGACTCCCAAAATCCTGGTTCCTTACCTCTCTTGTTGGTGATGGCAGGTCACCAGGCAAGTGGCCCAGTGCAAGTGTGCCAAGAGATTCCAAGTGGAGCAGATCGGCGAGAACAAATACCGGGTAAGGCAGAGAGAGGAGCAAATGCTGCCCCAGAGGCACAAATCCTGCTCCTCCTTCCCCCCTGGGCAGGGGGGATCACTGAGGGGGTGCCCAGCCTGGTGTGGGAGGATCAGGGGGGGAGACGAAGACCTCGTACCCTGGCACGGCGGCTCCCGGCGGAGGAGGCTGGGCCGTGTTTTCCCAGCTCCATCCTTGGCCCCAGGGCGTTCCCTGAATTGGGAGAACATAAAAGTGTCCCTGTTCTGGGGCAGCCGGCCCGGGGGCCCCGTGAAACGCCGCATTCACTCCACCGGAGCCGCCCTTGAAGTTCTCCTCGTGGATGAGTGTACCTTACGCCTGTGTTTTTCTTAGCTCGCTCCCGAAGAAGGGAGAATAATTTCCTTACAGAATCTCTTTGTAACGAGCTGCTGTTTATGTTTCAAACCCTTCGCCGAGGTGAAGCGGTGAAACGAGCCGGTGGCAGAGCTCCCACTTCCCTGCCCACTGGTTTCAGGGCTGATGCTCCGGCCGGGAGTCGCTGATCCACAGCGTTCCCCCTCTGGCTGCACCAGCCCCAGCCTCCCAGAGCCTCTCCCTCCCCCAAATAGCCCAAACCCCACCCCCCCCCAGATTTCTAACTCCTGCAGTTAACAGTTTTTGTGATTATTGCACTGTTAATCCCATAAATGTTTTTCTTGTTTTTCTTTCCCCTCCTCTTCCTCTGGATTTTTCCTCCCCACTCCCCATTCCCTCTCCCCACAACTCCTCTCCCTCCATAGTTCTTCCTCGGCAATCAGGTACAGTCTGCCTTGTGTTGCTGTCTCTCTCACCTCTGGAATTTTTTAACCAACGTAGTTGTGTGTCAGTGATGCTGCTCTGTCCTGTGGTGCTGTGGGAGGACGTGATCTGGGAGCGCTGCTGAGCAGAGCCTGGTACAGAGGAGTGCCACCCAAAAAAAAAAAAAAAAAAAAAAAAAAAGATGGCATTGGGCAGAAAAAAAGGAAAAAAATCAATGGAAAAGGCAGGATTTGACAAAAATGGAGATATTTTTCTCTCTGGGCTCCTTCCTCGGATAGATTGGGGATGTTGATGGTAACCAGTGGTGAATCACGGCACCCTGTGGTGGGAGCACTGGGATACAGATGGATCTGTGCTCCTGTGGGGCATCCCAGGGGTAGGAGTACCTGCACGAGGGCTGTACCAGGCTCTGGGTGGGTTTGGATTTGCAATCACCATGGAATGAGAGCGCTGAGTCCACCCCTTTAATCCCATAGGTAACAGTAACTAAACCCTCATTCCTGCTACACCCACTGAGTAACTCCTCACTGGAGCAAGGCTCCCAAGACCTGCATGTATCCCAATATTGTCAGGATGAGCAGTGCAGCCCCTCTGAGTGCTGGCTGGTTTGGGGGGCAGAGCCATTCTGATGTCCCCCCTGCCCAAATAAAAAAAGCCTGTTTTTCATGTGGAATGATGGTGCCCACTCAAAAAGATGCCCGAAATGAAACAAACTGGGATGTTGAAAGTGGATGACTCTGAGAACTCTGGCTTTAATTTAGGCAGTGATTATAGAAACATTTTCAACAAGAGCTGAGAAATAATGTAAATGTGGCAGCAGAAATGAGAATTGACTCATCCCTGGGTTTGGCTGTTGAAGGACACCTCACATAGAGCCTGGAGAGAGGAAAGGAGCTCCCCTGCCCATCGGGCACCGTGGCAGCTCTTTAACCACCACACCCAGACAAGTTTTGGTAGGACCCCCAGGCAGGGAGACCCCCCCAGTGGTCCAGGATCCCATATCCCTGTGGGTCAGAGATGCTGTCACCTCCTGCCCCTCTGCCTACTGTGATCCATCCAGGTCACTTTGCACTCTGTTTGCACTGAATCTTTTTTTGTGTGTGTATCCACCCACAAAAAGTGTTCCTGTTTGGGTTTTTTCCTTTTTTTTTTTTTAATCATTCTGAAGAGGGTTTTGCTTCCAAAGGCTGGTTCTCCTGTCTTCTCCTCCCAGCAGACCTGCCACATCCAAGCCAGGCTTGCAGCGTCCCTCCCCCAGCAGGCATCCAGGAGCCTGAGCTTGGCTTTCCAGGAGGTTTAGGGAGACCAATAAAACTGACCCATGCTTCAGATTCAGGGTGCACTTGTTTGATGTCGCAGGTGTTTCAGGTCACTAATGAACATCGCAATCACTAATCAACATTCCTGCCTGGATTCCCATCACTCTGCGCTCACCGAAACATCCTCACTGGGCGATTGCTGTGGCGGGGGCTTCAGGGCTGTTGGGGGGTCAAGTCTGAGGCTCAGGGAAATCCCTGGATTTCAGACTTGATGATGATTAGAGGTGTTTTGCTCAGCAGTGACGCAGCTGAATCAGCCGGCTCTTTTCCAGGTGGGCTGCACCAGGGGGGTCATGGCATTGACAGCCTCTATTTCCTTCACAATAAAAGGGAAAAAAAAAAACTACAGCTCTGGCTGAGAAAACCCATCCAAACCCCAAATTCTAAAAATTCATTTGCCGCCCTCAAAAATTCGCTTTCCAGCTTTAAAATTAGAGGAATTTGGGTGGCTGCATCATCTTAAAACCGGGCAGCAGGAAAACTCCTGTCAGTTGGTACTGCCCTGCACTTACTCCAGAAGAACCTGTCTGGAGAAGCCTTAAAAATATTAAACTGGTGGATAAAAGCCTTTGGTGCAGCCTGTTGTGGGAAGGAGCCGGGTCTCCCTTGGTGTTCCCCCTCCTCTGACCTGTTCCTTGGCCCTGCAGTTCGGCGATTCCCAGCAGCTGCGGCTGGTCCGTATCCTGCGGAGCACGGTCATGGTTCGTGTCGGAGGGGGATGGATGGCCCTGGATGAATTTTTAGTGAAGAATGATCCGTGCAGAGGTAAGGCAATCCCTGGGGTTAGTTCAACCAGTGTCTTCTCACCCACTGAGGGGAGCTTGGGAACTTGTGTGCTGTGACTGAGTGACCGGAGTGGGTCTGGGTTATCCGGAGGAGCTGGAGAAAACAGATCCAAAGCAAACCAAGAACTTAAAATGGCAAGATCTGGTGATACTGCAGCGAGTCTTGCAGCGTTTAGCCAGGTGTTGTGGGGGGAGAAGAGGGAAGGGCTGTGTTCCTTGGTTCCAAGGCCCCAGTGAGTGGAGCTGCAGAGCCGTGCTGGGAGTCTCGGCTTCCCTCGGAGGTGTTCGGTGCACACGTGTGACTCTGAGGGTGATGGAGTAAGCTTTGGAAAGTAAGCTTTTTGAAAGTGACCTTTTTGAAAGATTCCAAAGGTTCAAAGCCAGGAGATGGTAAAATTCCTGTCTGAGACACGCTGGGTGGAAGATGCTCCAGCCCAGGATCTGTGAACCTGTAGTACAGCTGCACTGGGCTGTGGCTGTGGGGCACTGACAATCCAGGCTCATCCTAGGGACTAAGGAGGCATTTCTCCTGTGACTTTGAACTTCTCTCTGATGCGTTTCTAATACAGATTTTCTCCATTCATTTGTTGGGTTTAAAGCAGCGGCATAAGGAACTAATTTGGAAACCCTGAGCTGAGCAGGACTATGCACCTTAAATATCTGTTTTGATGGTGCTGAAATGAACTTTCTTCCCCCATTTTTTTCCCTCGAGGGTGAAAATATGACCCTTCTTTTTTTGAATTGCCACAAGCCAGATTTGGGTTGTAAAAGGAGCTGCATTGTCCGTGGAGCTGTTCAGGGGCTGGGTTGGATTTGGGGGGCGGATTTTGAGCACTGTGTCCTGCTGTATGTGTGTCAATAAGCATCACTTTGCACAACTGTGTCCCAGGTGAAGCAAAAAAGATGTTTCAGTTCAGCATTAATGCAGGAAAATTAAAGTGTAAGAAGCTCCTGGATTACCTGATCTTAAGGAAGAGACAGCAGCAGATTAGAAGGGAAGAACCACCTCAGTCTTGGGTTTTTAGGGATGAGCGGTGTTTGCTGGAGCTGGTTTGGTGGGACACAGTTGGAAGGGACAGCTGGGGTAACACAGACCAGTCACATTCCATGGGCATGGAGAACTGGGGTCACCACCTCTACAAAACCTGGAGGTTTTGAAGGTGATCAGGGCTGTCCGGTCTGGGTGTGATGCCGAGATCCACGACCAGGGCACAGAGAAGGATTAGCCAGGGGCTGGCCAGGAATGGAGCGCGTGGAGCCGCGTGTTTTGGAGAGCTTAGGCCTGTGCTCCATATGTCCCTGTCTCGCTGGGGTCTCTGAGATGTTAATTGCCTCGGATATGTCTTCTTCAAGCTGCTGCATTCCGCGCCCCGGCTGTGCGACGGCTGTTGCTGAAAGCAGCATGATTTACAGCGTGTGCCTCGGGGAACCTTCAGGGTTTTCCTGCTCCTCCGGCGTCCCTCGCTCATGCTTTGCAGCAGATGCTTTACAGCGCTGACATCGAGGTTGTTTCTGTCCCTTGGTTGTCTCAGCGTGGCGCTTCCCTCCTGCAGTTGCTTTCTTGGCTTTCTGGTCCATAATCCAACGGCTCTAGAATTCCTCCCGTGTCCCGTAAGGATCAGTGCATGCCCTCGCTCTCTGTTTGAACACCGTGAGCATGAAACACGTTGGCACATGTCAGCTGGCCCAGGAGCTGAAGCCCACAGACCTTCTCCCTGCTTGGTTGTCCCTTGCTTGTGGAAGGGAGGCCCTCCAGCTCTTTGAGGTGTTTAGATGAAATTTTAAAAGAGTTGGCATTTAATGGCTGGTGGTCACTTTTCTCTCATCTCTCCCCAAAAATGTGGGGAGAGCTGCCCAGAGCTGCGAGAGAGCAGAATCTCTCTCAGCATCTCAAGAATCTCAGCCCTTCAAAGCTGCTTTTACTGTTTTTAAGTCACGTTACAGGTGACATTGGCCGCTGTTGTGACATGGTGAGTTTAAATGCTTTTTCACAAGAGAACAGTAGAGCATCCAGTATGAATCCATGACCCTAAGGCAGCTTTTAATCGTCCAGTTTCTCAAAGAGCTGATCCATGGCAGGAGGAGGTTGAGGCAGAGCAAGAGAGCCGGGATGGTGTCGCTGCCGTCCGCCCGCTCTCAGAGATGGGCTTGGGGTGACGTGCAAGGACACTGCTCCCAGCCCTGGAGACTCCTGAGCCCTGGTAACAGCTCTGGGTTCCTCCACACCTCAGGTCTCCTCTCCCTTTGTCCCCTTCCAGCACGAGGACGGACCAACCTTGAGCTCCGGGAGAAATTCATCCTGCCGGAAGGAGCCTCCCAGGGAATGACCCCGTTCCGGTCGCGAGGCCGGAGATCCAAACCATCCTCCCGAGCAGCCTCCCCAACACGATCCAGCTCCAGCGCCAGCCAGAGCAACCACAGCTGCGCCTCCATGCCATCCTCCCCCGCCACTCCAGCCAGCGGAGCCAAGGTGGGGGTCACGTGTAGAGCCTTCCCTTCCCTTTCCTTTAGAAACCAGCGGTCTCCAAAACCCCTCCCAGCGAGATGAGGAGCTACAGGAGGTGTTTGGAGGAGGAGGAAGGTTGGGGCTTGGGGGCTTGATGGTGCTATGGTGTCTGTGAAGTGTTCACAGTGTCTGCAGGAGGAACCCTGCTGTCCATGTGGGATTGGAGGGGTGGGATGGTGCAGGACAGGTTTCCAGCCCATGGCTCCACAGGAGGGTTCCCGGCACTCACCGTGCAGCCGAAAGCTCCTGTTCCTCATGGCAGAGCTGCAGTGTCAGGAAGAATCCATCAACCATCATCTCTCCCTCCCCACCACATCACTCACCCATGCATGGTTTATTTCATCACCTTTCGGGGTTTTTCCCTTTATTTTAATTTATGTATTTCCCATTTGGTTCTCGTTCCATTTTAGTGCTGTTTCCCCCCGGTTCCAGATACTTTTCCATTTCTCTCTTTTTTTTCTTTTTTTTTTTTTTTTTTTTTACACCACTCATTCCACCTCTCCCTCCCCTTCCTTGGATTTTCCATTTCACAGACTCCACATCACTTCTCTCGATGTTATGACAAACCCTGGTTGATAAACAGTAAAGCGGGCACCCCCCTGAGGGGATTCGATTATTCCGACTTCCAGCTCCCGAGCGCCGAGGTAGAGTATGGTCTGGCAGCCCCGAGGACCTGCTGACAGCCCAAAGTGCCTCTGGCACGGAGTCATCCCACTCCCCTGCCTGTTTTAACGCTTTCCTTGTGGTAGAGCAGCGCTTGTAGCACCGCTAACGCTCCGACTGTTGGCGTTTTTCATGGGTTTCCAACTCGGGATTCAATAAAACATCGACTTCAGAATAAAGCGCAGCGCTTTGAATCCACCTTTGACTGCCTCCAGACCGTGACAGCGGTGTTAATTCTCTTTGTGCTTTAAAAAAAAAAAAACATTAATTTCCCAAGCTTTAATAGCTTTTGCATTGGAAAGGGGCCGTGTTTGGCTTCCCAAAATTCAAATCCAGCAGCCGAGTTGAGACTTGAAAATCAGCTACAGCGCATGCACTGTAACCACACCGCCTCAGTTTTATGGAGCGCTTGTGTTTTATCACCATGTTGAAGCACGTCGGGTGTGTCCGGCCCTGTCACCGCCTTGATGCTGCCAGGAGGATGAATTTGGCCTGAGATTTTGATTTCCCTAAAGTTTTCAGCCTCCTCGTGGACTTTTCCTGCCCTTGTGAATGGGTGATGAGAGGCAAGGGGTAGATCTCGGTGGTTCACTGCGCTGGTGAGGTAACTGTGTCTTGCTCAGCGGTGCTTCCATGTGGAAAAAGGATTAATTTAATTCATCAGAAGGTCGGGAGCGCTTTCCCAATTGCCCTAAATTTATGCTTGCTGCTTATTATAAAATAGGATCAAGGATGAGAATCGAAATCTCTGATGATGACAATGGTACCTCGGCAATCGCGTGTTAATGGATTTTAATTCCCTCAGCTGCCCCTCGCCCCTCTGCAGCTCCAGTTTCATCACATTCCAACACTTCTGAGTTTCCCAAAAGTCCCAGGGGATGGAGAGAAACCCCTCCAGCTGTTGCTTTAAAGTTCCTTGGGAAATGCCCTGTCTTATCTGTGTCCATCTATCCAGGGATGCAGAAGAGCTGGAGCCATCCCTGCATCCCTGTGCTCCCCAAAGCCCCCAGGGATGGGGGACACCACGGGCAGTCGCTTTCCTGCAGCACTGCCCCAAACCCAGAGCTTTGGGTGGTGAATAGAAACTGGAGCTGCCTTTTCCAGCTGGATCCAGGTGCCCTCACCCTGCTGGCACCTTCCCTTCCGCTTCCTCCCGCAGCAGCGGGAGCAGCGCTGCCTGTTGTGCTGCTTCACCCCACATCAGCTGCACTTGCAACATCTTAAAGGTCGGGAAAAGCGCCGTTTCAGGATGTGGCCAGAGCTGATTTGATGTGTTTTGTGTCTCTGTTCATCACTCTTCCAATTTGGCTGCCCTTTGGTGGTGGGAGCGTGGTCACCAGCTGGGTGTCCCTACACCTCTCTCCCAGTCAGGCTGTGCTGATGCTCCCACAACGGGATGCAGTTCTCAAGATCCCATGTTGTACTTGACCTTCCAAAATGTTCCTGAACTGCCTAAATGCTAAAATCCCTATTTTTGCAATATTTCACCTTTCCTTTTTGGAGGTTTTGAGCCCAACTGCCTCCTCTGGATGGATAACAGCTTTGCTTTGATTTTTTTTTTACCTGTTCATCAGCCTGCAGAGCACAAACTGCCATCACCCTCCAAATTTTCAGGATCTGGGCTTTTTCCTTTTTAATCATCCACTGCTGAAACGGCAGCTTGTGTCCTCCTTGACCATTAAGATGGATGTTCCTTAAATGCCAGAACGTTTTTGCCGAGGATCTGACCTCGGATGTGATCTTGGCCCGCCACAGTGCAGGTGACAGCTAAAGGGTGCCCTGTGTGTGCTTCCTCCCAAGGTGACCCCCGCGGCGGGCAGCAAACTGAAGCGACCCACCTTCCACTCCAGCCGAACCTCCCTGGCTGGGGACACCAGTAACAGCTCCTCACCAGTCTCTACAGGTGCCAAAACCAGTCGGGCAGGTAAGTCATGAGAAAAGGTGGAAAAACTCCCTCCTGATGCTATTGCTGCTTAAATTGGTGGGGAAAATACGGAATATTTTGTGGTGGGCAGCGGGGTGGGAGGGCTGATGCCCACTGCTGCATCCCTGCCTGGGGGAGGAGATGCTGGCACAATTCTGCAGTCTGAGGAGCTGCACCTGCTCCGTTAAAAGCTCGGGAAGGGATCAGTTCTGATGCTGAGCCCCCTCTCTGGGTGCTGGTCATGGGGCTTGGGGATGGGGAGGAACCCAAATCCTCCTGCTCACGGCTCCCTGGGCTCCCCTTGCAGATCCTAAAAAAACAGCCAGTCGTCCCACGAGCCGCGCCGGGAGCCGCACGGGGAGCCGGGCCAGCAGCCGGCGGGGCAGCGACGCCTCCGACTTCGACCTGCTGGAAACGCAGTCGGCGTGCTCGGACACCTCGGAGAGCAGCGTGGCTGGCGGGCAGGGCAGCTCCCGCCGGGGCATGGCCAAACCCTCCAAAATCCCAACCATGTCCAAGAAAACGACCACTGCCACCCCGAAAACTCCAGGCCCTAAAAGATAATACTGTACCCACGCCCTCCTGAGAGGAGAAACCCAACCTGTGTCCAGTTTTTAACCCTGCTCCGTACATTGGATGTATATTTATCTAAATGGGAGAAACTATATTGTTAAAAGTGTAAAAGAAAGTTGTGTTATGAAGCTGCCTTATTTGGTTTTTTTTTTTTTCGTTTTTTGTAAGTTACTATTTTCATGTGAATATTTATGTAGATAAAATTTGCCTCTCGGTGACCCCTGTTCAGAGAGGGGCCTGGAAAACTGAAACGTGGAAGAGAAAGAAAAACAAACAAAAAAAAAAAAAAGAAAAAGATTTAAAAAAAAAAAAGGAAGCAAAAAAAAAAAAAAAAAGGTCAAGATGTGAAAGTGTAAAGAAAAACTAAAATATAAATAGGATTTCTGCGCGGTGCAGGGTGTGAACCTGCTTTATCTTTTAGGATTGTTTCCTAAATGTCTTTATAAACTTGCTGTCTCAGCAAGGTAAATTATATTTAAAAGCAAAGACCTGAATCCTGCAGTGTTCAAGGAACTCTCTTTTTGTAAATCACAGATACCTCAACCAGAGAGACATGAGGTGAGGGGACTTGGGGCTTATGTTTCCATTTTTTTTAAGCTATGTGGTTTTACCTGAAGAAAGCGGAGTTTGACTTAATAAAATTTGCACACACTACAGCTAAGGTCGTGACAATTCTGTCCTGAAAATACTGTCCCGACAGCTTTGTTTTTAAAGAACAAACTGATGGGGAGGGGTTTGGGGAAGGGTCTGAGGAGGGGGTTCACGCCGAAGCCGGCTGGAGGAGAGCACGCGGGTACGATTGCAGGTCTGGATCACTCGGATACACCCCTTCTTAGAGGTGGTGGGTCTCCAAATTCAAGGATTCTTCTGGATTGATGGCTTAAAAGAGCCCGACGCGAGGCGTTCCTTACACAATCGCTATTTATCTGCATCTCTTTGTTTCCTATTTATTATTTAACTGGTCATTCCACTTCCAACCAGGCTGAGGTTGATGTGAACTCTGCTCCTAGGAGAAATCTGGACTTACACGCACAGTTGCTTGTCCTTGAAATGAGTCTCACCAGCACACTCGCTGCAAGTCCTGTCTCGCTTTTGTACGCTACTTTTTCTTTGTAATAAAATCAAACTGACCAAGTGACCAGGAGACGGGCCGGGGGCCAGGGCTCTCCACAGCTCCTGTATTTATTAAATATTGTTCCTCTCCGGCCCTGACCGTGTTGCTGTGTGATTCTCTCAATTTGGTTTAAAAATTGAGGCAAAACTGAAGCTCTACCAATGAATTGTTTAAAAAACCAGACACATTTTTGTATTAAACTTGCTTGCGGTAATAAACAATCTTGCCTCCTACTTTATTCCCCAGTGTTAGCTTTGTGAGGATTGAGAGCTGGAGCCGGTTATGCCATGCCTGTGAATTTGGGTGTCAGCAAGGGTGGGTGCCCTTGGGTTTGGTGATTTATGAAGGTGAGCATCCCTGGAAGTGGGTGCCCGTGGGGTGAGCATCTCTAGGGTTGGCTGTCCATGGGTTTGGGTGTCAGTGAGGGTGGATGCCCATGTTTTTGGGTGCCCAGGGGGATAGTCATCCTTAGGGATGGGTTCCAATGGATTTGGGTGCCCACGAGGATAGGCATCCCTGAGGATGGGTTCCCATGGATCTTGATGTCCACAGTTTTGGGTGCCCACGAGGCTGAGCACCCTTAGGGGCGGCTGCCCACGTGTTCCCCATGCCCAGGGCCGCCGGGCGGGGAGGGCCGGGACGTCCCGCAGCCGGGGCCGGGGCGGTGCCGCCGGAGGGACCGTCCCTTTCCCTCGCCCCGCCGGGGCGGGCCGGGGCCGTGCCGGTGCCCGGGGCCGCACCGCACCGGGCGGGCGGGGGGTCCCGGCGGTGCCATGGGGCCGGGGCGCGGGGCGGGCGGGGGCGGCGTGGGGCCGTGGCGCTGCTGTGGGTGGCGGCCGTGCTGTGCCAGCTGGGCAGCGGCAGCGTCCTCCGCCGCCGGCTCCACGCCGCCGGGGTCCCGCAGCGGCGGCTGAGCGGCGGAGAGCGGCGGGACGTGCAGCGGGAGATCCTGGCCGTGCTGGGGCTGCCCGGCCGGCCCCGGCCCCGCGCCCCCGCCCGCGCCCCCGCCGCCGCCGCGCCGCTCTTCATGCTCGACCTGTACCACGCCGTGGCCGGCGAGGAGGAGGAGGAGGAGGACGGCGAGGAAGCGGCCGTGTCGCGGCCGGTGCTCACCGGGCTCAGCACCCAGAGCCCCCCGCCCGGCAGCGTCGTCAGCCACGCCGACACCGTGGTCAGCCTCGTCAACATGGGTGAGCGCCGCGCCGGGGCACCGGGAACACCGGGATGTGCGGGGGCACCGGGATGCGGGGAGCAGAATGTGCGGGAGCAGGGGGTAGTACCGGGGCACCGGGACGCGTGGCTTTGGCAGCACCAGGAGGACCGGGGGTACCGGGACGTGCAGGCAGGACCGGGGCGGCTTTGGGCACCGGGGACCGGGACAGCGCAGAGCTGGGGAGGTACCGAGGGGGCACGGAGGAGCACGGGGCTGAGCTGAGCCCGACCCAAACCCTCACCCGTACCTGTGGTACCGGCAGCTCCGAGCATCTCTCGGTCCTGGAGTGGTTTCTCAGGGCACCCTTGTTGAGAAAAGCCTCTTTTTCCCCCCCAAAGTTAAGCTCAATAACGGTGGAGAGCGGCTGGGAGGGACACGGTGGCTGTGAGCCCTATAAGGCATAATTCTCGTCTCGGCTTAAAAAAGGGGAGATGGAGAAGGGGAAGGTCCTGCAGCGAGGGTGGTTTGAGGGGGGCTTGTCCACCCTGTGCTCCCCATTTCACTGGGCACATGAGCTGGCTGGGGAGTGAGGCAGAATGGCAGCTCTCATGCCAGCAGCAGGGTGAACCACGTTCCCCACGGTGGGACCCTGAATCACAGCTCAAAATAAAATCCTCAAGGTTGCTAATTATTGCTGGAATCCCATCCACCTGGTTACTGGGCTCCAGCATCGATCCAATTTCCAGGTGGTTGCTTGAGGAGCAGCAGAGCTGTTTCCAGCATCAACAGGGCCATGAGGACTAGGGACACAGTGGGTCCCCTCTGAGAGCAGGCACTGTGTTGGCCTGAACCCTTCAGGATGAGCAGATCAGGCATTTGGATGTAGAGCTCTTCCCTGCCTCTGCCCTCTGCTTGGGATGTCCCTGCCCAGGCCAGCTCAGAGTTCCATACAATCACTACTCTGATGGGGAGAATCCCTCTCTGGAAACCCAAGGCAGGGAGTAGGTTTGGATGAGGAAAAGCTGTGGAATTCTTTTGTCTCCCAAATCCTCTCCATCCATTCCTACACCCTCTGTGTAAGGAGGCTCTGTGGGATAGATGCTGGTCAGGCAGTGGTTGGGGTCCCCACAGTTGCAGGCACTCAGCACCCAGCTCCCATGTAGAGCCCCTGGCGGAACTGTGGGAGCTCAGCATCCTGGGAAAGCTGAGGCTGAGGTAGGCAGACACTGGACCACCAAATTCCAGCTCCCCTCAGCACTTGCTACAAAATGGGCTTTAAAATGATTAGGTTTGATGGGTGGGATGTTCAGAGGGCTGGGGAGATGCCCAGGAGGTGTTGGTGGTGGCAGAGAGTTCCTGATATGGGGTGGGATGCAGGGCACTGCACCCCCTTCCCAGTGCTCTTGGAGCAGCCAGGAGAGTTGGGGAACACAGTTCCAGCCTTCAATTTGAATGGCTTTGATTTCTGCGGCTTCGTCAGCCCCTTCATGTTAATTAAAGAAGTTTTTGTGGGAGAAGGCCAGCTCTCATTTGCATGCGTAATTCGCTGCACAATTATCCTGATGGGACATGCAAATGGGATAAGCTGGTGCTCCATTGGGCACCTGGACCTCTTTGCTCGCAGCCACCCCACGTAGCGCTGTGTGAGCGGGGCCGGAGCGCGGCTCCCAACGGCACACCTTTTTCCTGGGAAGGGGAAATGACAAACACACCCCGGGCTGGGTGGGCAGAGTGCCCTGCCTGCTGGGCAGGGGGATGGTGGCTACTGGGTTGGGTACCTTTGGTTGGGTTTGGTGATGGTGGAACTGCCCGTCCCATCCCATTTGTTCCTCCCGGTGCGGGGATAAAGCCTGACCTGTGCTATTTCTGAGCGCTTCCTGAAGGAGTCAGGTGGGTTGTTGGTATTTTTAAGCCTGGGATAAGGATGGGCTTTGGGATTTCTCCTCAGCCGTGAGTCATGGATATGGGCAGGGTATAATCATGGAGCAGAGTGGTTGGTAACAGGTCTCTCAGTGTGCCCAAGCCCCCTGTGGCACCACAACGCACACGTCTTCCCTTTCCCTCCTGGCATCCATGGCTCCTGGCTTATGGAAAGGTGTCCCTGCCTGTGGCAGAGGATGGAACAAGATGATCTTTAAGGTTCCTTCCAACCCAAAGCATTCTGTGATTCTCTGTGGCCAGACTCCCCCATGGCTGTTTTGGATGAAGCTCTGCCCACAGCGGGACATCTTCCTGCCAAATCCAGGGAGCAGCGGGGAGGAAGGCAGGACACCTTGGCAGCAATAGCTGCAGCACCCCGGGCACTGCAAGGAGCCATTAGTGCGGGGTGGGAGCTCACAGCAGCCTCTTTAATTGAATTTTGGGAGTTGAGGTGCTGCTCCACTCTCCACACTGGAAGCTCATCACCCACTGCTGGCCACTTACCCTCGCCCCCACACCATTACCACTGAAATCCAGCTGCTGTCAGCAGCTGGGTCAGGATCTTCCCACTCCTGGCTTCATTTTGCTGCCATTTGAGCCTCCTCCTCCTCTGGGCATCCATCTGAGGGACACAGGGCAGCGTTTTCTGGCAGCCCATGCCAAGGTGTCAGTGCTCTGTACACACCCTCCATGTGTGTTTTAATGGGAAAAGCTTTGCAAATAAAATCCCTGGGATCCACCCGTGGCACAGTGCTCCCAGCTGGCTGAGTGTGGGGCTCAGGGAGCAGGGGGGATGCACAGTGGCCAAAGATCTCTCCCAACCACAAGCAACCGGATGGGGAGAGTCCAGTTCTGAGCCCCACATCCTGTAACTCCCAGTGCTCATCCCAGGAGGATGGAGGAAGCACTCCTGAGACAAACTGGGAGCCTGGATTCACTTCACAGCACTCAGGATAAATCCTAAATCTCTCCCCACTTCAGAAAACCTTCGGAGCTTATTTTTTCCTGCTCGTAAGTGAAAGGACAGCATCTTCCCTGCATCTTGTTTAAACCTATTTTGGGATCCTGAGCACTTGATGTGGTTGAATATCCTGGCATTTCCTTTTAATTTAGTGTCTGAAATGATCATGGGGACCATCGGGAGCAGCCAGGACCAGTAATTACGACTGATGCGCAGTTTATAGAAACAGGGAAAGTTTACAATGAAAACGTGCAGCTAAGAATAACCTGGGGAGCAGGAGGAAGGGTGGGATCCGGGAAGAGATCAGGAGCTGGGAGACATGGTGAGGCTCAGCCTCGGTGGGGCTGGGCATCCCCTCCCAGAGGAATGGCCCAAGGGTGTTTGTAAGTCATTTTTATAGCATTTTTTTTGGGGTGGTGGGAGCCCATATTCAGCTTTGTGGTGACGTTCAGCTTTGGGGAAAGACACGGCAGCTCCTTGGGATGAGACAGTGAACGCCAAAGGAGGGGGCAAGGAGAGCAAAGCGCTTGGTTTGGGCTTTTTTAGCGTGTCTCATCCGCAATCCGGATAATCCGCCCACAGATAATTGAGGGTTGGTGGTGTGGCTGAGCCAACCCGCCTCGAATCAATAGCAGGTTCCCACCAGGCTCCCAGTGAGCTGGGGGTGGGGGCATCTCCACAACACCCCCAGCAGCATTTTAGCACCCACTGTTCTTCTTGGGCACCCACTGGGTGCTTTGGGGGTTGTAATTTCACAGGAGTTTATAATGTAGCAGGAAATATGGTGATATTAAACCCCTTCCAACCTGCTGTTTGCATCTGACCCTGTCCTGATGGCTGCACAGGAGGGGATGCTTCTCCCTTGGTCCTGCCTCTCCAAGGGTTTTCCCTCTTCTTCTCCATGAGGGAGCAGAGAATTCAGGGGTTCCTCCCAGTCTCTCATCACAAACACTACATATATTGCTATTAAATCCATCTTCTTGGATAAAACAAGGAGAACCCCCTATAGCAATTCTCTTACTGCCCAGGTGTTTGTGGGCTTCCCTCCCACCAGCTCCCCTCCTCTGCCTTCCTCCCTGGACCCCACCATCACCTCCACAGCACACTGATGGGAAGTTTTCATAACAAACCTCTGCTTTAGCAAAGGTTTTCACTCTTCTCCGGGGCCAAAAATCACTCTGGGGGCTTTTTCTGTGGTGTGGGTTCTCTGTGACCTCCTTGGCTCTGCAAAAAAAATCTCTCTGCCTGTTCATGGGTGAGGGCCCATCCACAGCATTGCTTTGCTGGAGGTGTTCATCTGTGAAGATCACGACGATTTCAGGGCAGAGGGGTGACCCAAGTACCCAGCTGACCGAAAATACCCGAGGGGACATCACCTGGTCCCCTGGACCGACCATGGGACATCCCACTGAGGGTTTATCAGTGCCAAAAAAAAAAAGGGAGTTGATTCCTTTGGTTGTCCTCTGGGGGGATTTAGGGATTCTGTAAGATCCATGAGGCACGGGCAGCTTCGGCAGCACCACTGAGTGATCCAGGAGCGTAAAACCATCAGCGATGGGTTGGTGGGAGAAATGGAAAAGAGGGAAGAGCCCGAGGGGCTGCAGTGGGTTTGGGGGGGCTGCTGTGTGTCCCACCCAAGGGGTGCAAGGGCTGGATGCAGCTCCCCACAGCATCCTCCTGCCACAGCTGGCAGCCGCCCCGCCGGAGCAGGAAGCGCTCTCCGCATCCGCCCTGCCCGCCTGGCCCTGGGCTTTTTTTGTAACATAGCTTGTGGTGAGGCCAGTAGCTGGAGGGAATGTGGGATTTGAAAAAAAAAAATATATAAAAAGAGGGGGAAAAAAAAGGAAAAAACAATAAGAAAAAAATAAGAAGACCTGTAGGTACATAAGTAAAATATCAGCATTAGGTTTGGAGAGATGTGTCACGCTGCTCCTGCGACTTTATGGTGCCTTAGACTTGGAATATTTCTCTGCTGGAATTGGTTAAAACATGCATTTAAAACATGTATTTTAATTTAATTATTTATTTGGCTGGTTTGCTTTTAAATGTACGCACCGGGTCAGATGGGTTACGTTGCTTTTGTGCCTGAAGCAGGAGAAGCTTTAGTCATATTGAATCATATTTAATCATATACTTTAATTATATTGAGACGAGGCAGATTGGAATATTTTTAAAGAACAATTTGAAGCAAATAATTAGGTATTAGAGAAACTGTGTGGGGCTGCACTGCTGCAAAGAAGGACATTGGGTTATTCTTTATGGACTTCACAAATCAAATCAGCAGATTTTTTGCTGCAACAAAACCCCAGTTCCTGCTCCGGATGGTCCCGCTGACCCCAAAACCTCAAATTTTTGTGTGTGTGTGTGTTTTCAGCACAAAAGGCTGCAGCCCCTAAACCATGGCACAAATGGCAGCTTCTCTGTGCTCCTACCACAACCGACTTTTAATTGCACTTTTAATTTTAATTTTAATTACTAATAATGGAAGAAGGCCGTGAGGCTGGTGGGTTTGCAGCAAAATAAAGTTGGGGGGGTGGAAAATTGGGGCAGGAGAGGGCTGTATCAAGATTAAAACTCTTGGGGGAGGAGAGATAGGAATTTGCAGCCAAGAGCTCAGGGTTGGGGGGGGTGAGGGGTCAGAGCCAGTAGGTTTGCCCCTAAAGTGGGGACAAATAAGGTCGGAGGGACTCAGGGTGGGGTCTGGCAGAGCCCTCCCTGAGCCCTTTGCTCCACAGTGGAGCAGGACCGGGACGTGTTCTCTCCAAAGCCGTACTGGAAGGAGTTCAGGTTCGACCTGACCCAGGTGCCCACGGGCGAGTCCGTCACGGCCGCCGAGTTCCGCATCTACAAGGCCCGGGGGGTGCCCCGGCACGGCAACAACAGCCTCCACATCAGCATCTACGAGGTGGCTGCAGAGCACTCCAACAGGTGAGGGGCTGCGGAGGGGAGCGGGGAGGGGAATGGGAACGATGGAGATGAGGGTGACGGGGATGGGGATGAAGAAGGTGGGGATGGGTTTGGGGATGGGAACGAAGGGGTGGGAACAGGGATGAAGATGGTGGGGATGGGAACCTGGGCAAGCACTTTCCCTTCCCACTACCATAAAAACACCAGGGGAAGTGGCAGGGCCACAAACAGCTGTCCCCAGACTTTCCAGAGGGGAAATGTCACACCCTGGTGTTTTGGCATTGAGAGCTACTGGCCTGACCTTGCTGTGCCAGGGCCTGTCTGGACACAGGCACCAAGCAGTAATTTCCAAGAATTATTGCTGGTGCTGGTGCCCTTTGGGTGCTGTTACTCACCTGCTCTTTCCCCCCTTGTTTCTACAGGGAATCTGACCTATTCCTGCTGGATGTCCAGGACCTGCGTGCTGGGACGGAGGGCTGGTTGGTGTTTGACGTCACAGCCGCCAGCAACCACTGGTTACTGGATCAGAAATACAACCTGGGGCTGCGGCTCTACGTGGAGACAGATGATGGTGAGTCTGATGAATCTACCTGCAGCATTTGGGGCCAAATTCCCAAGAACTGGAGTCCTCCCATCTCCCCCCTTGGTGCCATGGGATGTGGGGGGGGTTTTGTCCCACTGCAATTTTAAATTCCCCGCTGTGACAGAGAACCCACAGGTGCCACAAGTCTGGGTTTGCAGGCAAACCTGGATGGCAGACCCTTTCCAAAGGCTTCATGCTAATGGGGTGGACTGTAATTAACCCCATTAACGCTTAAGGAGCTCCTTACCTGGGGGGATCCTGCCATGTGTGCGCCAGATGATTAACCCTCTTTTCCCTGTGGAATTGACTCTGGTCCAACACCGCACACAGGCACACTCAGAGCATCTGCACTCCCATGGGGGCAGGAATCACAGTTGCCAACGCTCCCTCCATTCCCTTCCCTCCCCAGCTTCCCTCCCCTGGGGGCGAAGGGGCAAACTGATCACTTGGTTTTAATCCTCGGATGGCTCTGTGTGACCATGGCGTGCTGGTGGGGGTGGCTGTGCCACCTCCGGGCTTCAAACCCCTTGGGATGCCGAAACCATGGCTCTCCACTGCAAATTTCTTCCATTTTGGCTCCTTGCTTTAACCAAACGAGTTCGTTCTGGGAGCAAACCCACGCCTGGTCCCGTCCCTGCAGGGCACAGCGTCGATCCGGGCTCGGCGGGGCTCTTGGGGCGCCGGGGGCCCCGCTCCAAGCAGCCCTTCATGGTGACGTTTTTCCGGGCGAGTCCCAGCCCTGCCCGTGTCACACGAGCGGCCAAACCCCCCAGGAGGCGGCAGCCCAAGAAGACCAACGACCTCCCGCATCCGAACAAGCTCCCGGGAATTTTCGGTAAGAGCTCTGCTGGGCGAGGAGCGATGCCCGTGGAAAACACCCGGCTCTGCTGCTGCCAGGAGGGACCCGCTGTCAGCACCTCCAGCAGCCAGTTTTGGGCCCAGGGGGAAGCAGAGCAAAGAGCTCTGGGTTTTTAGGGTTGGGTTGTTTGCAGTTAGGGAGATGCAGAGGGTTTGGGTTGGTTGCCCCCAGGGAAATGGTGTTTTGTGAGCTTGTCAGGATTTCCGAGTATTGGAATTTTTGCCCTAATGCCCTTGGCTTTGAAGCCACCCTGGGAAGGTGTCATCACCCTGGAAGGGGGTCACAGCCCCAGAAAGATGCTCAGGCAACAGGGGAGTGGGAAGCTCCAGCTCTCCTGAGTTTGGAAAACCCTCCAAGTCGTCATCTCTGTGAGCAAAGCTGGGATCTACCCCTTCCAAGGCTTAATTCCTTCGTCCCAGTGTAGGAATATCAAATTATCGACCGGTCTGAAGCTCCTTTTCCCTTTGTGCAACAGCAGAGGCTCCTCTCCTTTGGTTCTCCTGGACTAACCCTGATCATTTGGGCTGTATCCCTCCCTTGAGAGGGGTTGGCTGCAGAGGATGGTGGGATGGGGGATGCCAGGGCTGATGTTCCCTGTCCCCTTCTCCCACAGATGACGTCCACACCACGGATGGGAGGCAGGTCTGCCGGCGCCACGAGCTCTACGTCAGCTTTCAGGACCTTGGCTGGCTGGTACTTGTCCACTGGGAGAAGTAAATGCAGAAGAAAAACCAGACTCCATCATCCCATTCCCCTGCCCTGGGCTCCCTCCCACCCCAGAATCCCCTGCCCATGGAGCCATCCTGGGAGCTGGGAAGGCAAACGTGAACTGCCACAACCCCAAACCCCTTTGCTGACCCTGAGCAACTCGTGGCTCAGTCCGAAAAATCAAAATAAACCCTTGCTGCTTGGCACAGCCACTCGGGGAGGAGGTGGTGGAGTTGTTTGTGCAGGTGGGGAATGGAGGAAGGGGCACAGGAAGGTGAAGCCCTCGATGTAATCCCTTTTATTTTGCAGGACTGGGTGATTGCTCCACAGGGATACTCAGCCTATTACTGCGAGGGGGAGTGTGCCTTCCCCCTGGACTCCTGCATGAACGCCACCAACCATGCCATCCTGCAGTCCCTGGTCAGTGCCACCCAAAAGGACAGCCCAGGGGGGACACTGAGGGTCCTGGGGAGCAGTAGGGGCCCGGCGGGTCCTTATGGAGAACTGGGTTTTGGGATGAGCATGGCTGGGTTTGAGGGTGTTTGGGTCAGAGGGTGCAGTTCAGCTGCTGGTTGGAATAAATTATTAGTAGGTGCATGCACATCTGGATGAGTACTTGCACATCTGGATGGGTGCTCGCCAGGCTGGTCCCCACCACAGGATCACGGGAGGTTCTGGTACTGCATTTCAAGGCATTCATGGAGAAACAAGTGAGAGGGCACACAGGTCACCAGCTCTGCCCATCAGCCTGAGCCAGAAGGGTGTAACAGGGGATTTTGCAATTCCAGAGCTCCTCCATCTCTTGATTTTCTGACTGACACGATCCTGCTCCTGTTTAACAACAGCTGGGACAAAATAGATAATTTCTGACGGACTAATTACCCCCTCCCCTGGAAGTGGGCTCAGGAGCAGGGACTCCAAGGCTCACCAGGGCTCACCAAGGCCCCCACTCCTCCCTGGAAAGGCTCCATGTCAGCCGTGCCCGAGGGTTTATCCGCAGCCCTGGAAAGCACCGCTGCGGCTCAGCACCCAAACGTTGGGCTCAGCATATTCCAAGCAGGAAAGCTTTAGTGTCCCTCTTTTCCCAAACCCACCCTGCATCCTAGCCAGGGCTCTAATTTCTGGAATTTCCTGCCCTGTGAGTGTTTGGTTTCCCAATGGCAGAGCCACACCGGCTCCGGTGCTCACGGTTAATTACAGGGAGCGCCGAGCCCTCGGCCGAGCCTTTGAAGGTGTCGCCTGGCGGGGTTTAATTTTGACATTAACGAAGCTTCCAGGGCCCATCTGGGGCTGGGAAGGATCCTGGCAGGGGCGGGGAGGGGCCCCCTTCCCCCTCTACACCCACCCATCGCCCCTAAACCCAACGCTCTTCCCAAAACGGAGCCGTTTGGGCAGGATGTGAATCACCTGGCGCCCGGATCCGGCCCTTCTGGGAAGCGCCGGGGCAAAGGCGGCCGTGGAGCTGTGCCAGCCCCAGCCTGTGCTGCAAATAGCAGGGTTTGACAGCAAAAACACTGGACTTCCGAGCTGGGAGAGCTGGGCTGCCCCTGCCATAAATTAATCGCACATGTCGGGTGAAGCCAGCGAGGGCTCCGCGTGTCCGGCGGCCTGGGAGCCTCCGGCTGGTGCCGTACTGCAAAATCCTGGGATAACACATGTCCTGAGCAGGGGCTGAACGAGCTGAAGGGGAGTCGTGTTCAGAGAGGTGTTGTGTATTTAAGATTTTAGTGGAAGACGTTAAATTCGGGGTGGAGGATCTCTATTGCAGCACCCCCCGCCCACACCGGAGTCTGACCCGCTCTGCCCTCATTTAAATTCCTTTTTTAGTCATTTGTCTATTTTTGTGAGAAAAAAGGGCCCTGAAATCCCAAATTAATGAAGGGGCTGCCCTGCCCACGCAGTGCCTTGAGCCCCGCTCCAACATAAACTGCAGCAGGGACTGCCTGGAGTTTAGGATAAATATTTTTGCAAAAAGCTGGGAATAATCTCCCCATTCACCCAGGATTTTTGCAGCTACGAGTCGGTTTGATGCTTTTTCTTTTGCCTGGAGCCACGTTTGCTGCATCCCTCCCCCAGGTCCACCTGATGAAGCCTGAGGCCGTGCCCAAGGCGTGCTGTGCCCCCACCAAGCTCAGTGCCACCTCTGTCCTCTACTACGACAGCAACAACAACGTCATCCTCAAGAAGCATCGCAACATGGTGGTGAAATCGTGTGGCTGCCACTGATGGACAGGTCCCATCCCCATCCCTGAGCATCCCATCTCCATCCCTGAACATCCCATCCCCTCCCCACCAGAGCAATGTGACACTGGGTTTCTGCTGGATATGTGGAAGAGGAGTTTCATGGGCTGCATCAGAGCAAAGTCCATTGATAGTAATAAATAATAAAAATAAATCCCTCCCACCCCTTCCTAGAAGTGGATGTAAATAATATAAAACTTCTATTCTCTTACCCCGCTTAATGAGACGCATAGATACGCCCAAACATACATACATATATATATATATAGGGAAGAGAGGATTTGTGGTTTGTTCTGTGTCTGGTTTGTCTGTGGCTGATGTGTTTTCCTCTCATGCTGCTGCAGTCTCTGGTGGAAGCAGTTTGGGCTTAAGGGTAATTAGGACAAGGGAGGCAGTATCTGATTTGCTCTGGGATTGAGCCGTTCCTAGCTGTGTATTTCTAACTAACCTGCCTCTACCCAGTGCTTTTAATTCCCTTAATGAAAATATCATCAGCCAATTAAGCAGCTGGCTGACTAACCCGCTCCTGTTTACCTAAAGTTCACCAAACTCAGCCACTTGGAAAAAAAATAAAATATCCATATTGAGCTACGGCACTGTTATAAAATAAACACCTAGTTTGGAAAGTAAACACGGAGTTTCTCTTGCTCTTTGTTTTTTAATGTCACAGCACAACAGTGCTCTGTTTGGAGGACATTTCGCAATGAAAAAATACTCAGAATCGGCTAAAATTGTACCTATTTGCTTGAAAATGAGCCCTGATGTGAGTTTTAGGTCAGGTTGTGCTCACCAGTAGATGCTTCCTGAGGGCTTCTAAAAGGGCTGTGACTGCCCCAGGCAGCTTCCCTGGGCTATTTGTACAATTAAATTATTTATTTGCTCTGATTTTAAAAGGAAAAGGCCTGTCCTGGTTCTCAACTCAGATACCTGGGGAACCTTGTGTCACTAAACAAATAATGAACCTGGTACGGCCAGGAAAAAAAATCCCAATAAACCCACCAAAATAAGAAAGATCTGCTCCTTGTCAACATCCAGCTTTCCCCAGGCAAAGGTGTTGCTTCTTTGGGTATCTAATTCCACATGAAATCCAGCTCAGGATGTAATCATGGCTCTGTCTGACCTGGTGCCTTCTGCAGAGAGAACACCCAGGGCTCCCATCACTCTGGGCTCTCTCTCCCTGGTTCAGGCCCCGCTGAAGGTGCCTGCAAGGGCTGTCTTCAAAAATTTGAGATTTAAGTATCAAAAAGAAGGGAGCAAGGAAGGGAAAAGCTGGGCTGGTTCGTCTGTTTGTCTGGAATCAAGGCTGAGTGCCTGTGTCTCAACTTGTTGCAGTTTTAGGGCAGTTTCAGCCCCCAAACACTGTGGAAAGCCAGCAAGTGAATAAAAGCAACCCAGTGTTCCTTATGGAAAAACAACACCCCCGACCTGGCAAAACCAAAAATCCCCAGTGACACAAGGTCCTCAAAAGATCCCCACAACCCATCCCCACACACCTGACCCTCCTCTCTGTCCCAGCAGCCTCATCCCTCCTGCCAATACCTGAACATGCTCAAACCCACACATCCCTTCCTCCCCAGTACCATAATTTCACAGGAAACCCCAAATCCATCACTTCCCACCGTTGTGGTCACCTTTTTTGGTGCACAGCCAGAGCTACCCACCACAGGAACTATAAATCCACGTGATTATCCTGCTCTTCAAACTGGAGTTTGGAAGTTAAACCCCTTCCCTACAGCCTCATCACTTTGGGGATTTTTTTCTTCATCACCCAAAGGGCTCCTTCATTTCCTGGTGTTTTTTGTCCTGACCATGTTTTCCCTCTTACACATCCCAGTAAAAACCCTCCCTCTGGGATGGGGATGGAGCTGGATCAGGTTGGCTTCCCAGCAGGAAGGCTGCCAGCCAGGGACCTGCTTCCCTCTGCTGATGGAAAAGGACACTACAAAGCCAGGGATGTGGAATAAGCATGAGAGATTCGGCTCAGCTCTTTCCCTGGCACAGGGAGCTTCCCCTGGAGCCAGGATTCAGGCACGGGATTGATAGACAAGGGAAAAAAATTAAAAAAAAAAAAAAAGGCATTTTTGCTCAAAAACAAAGACCAGCCTCACAACAAGGGACAGTCTGAAAGCCAGGTCCTCGGTATTTTTAAAACTAGGTTTTATTTTTCCCAAACATAAAGTCTTTCTGGAACACGGCAGCAGGACCAGCCCTGGCCTGCTCGGGCAGTGCAGGCTGGGAAGTGACTTATCCCGGGAAGGTTGGACCCCTCAGCACTGCCCACAGGCACCTTCACTCCAAGCTTAGCAGGGGAATTTCAACAGAGGCCACAGGACTGGGTGCTGCTGGGGAGTCTCTGGGGTGTCCCATTCTGGCTGTCCCTCCTGGCCAGGCTCCCCCCATCCAGCCCCTCCGAGAGCCGAGCTCACGGGCACTCCCCGCAGTCCGAGATGATCACCTTCTGCTTCGGCTTCCCATCTTTGGTGCCCTGAGCCTTGGAGAAAAGAGCAGCAGGAGTTAAGGGCACCAATCTCTAGGGCAGGAAGAGGGTCAGCTCTGCCCGGACCACTCTGCTGACCAGCACCTACCTCGATCTCCCGCACCACGTCCATGCCTTCCGTCACCTCCCCGAACACCACGTGCTTCCCATCCAGCCAGTCTGTTTTATCACAGGTGATGAAGAACTGGGAGCCATTGGTGTTTGGGCCAGAGTTTGCCATCGACACCATGCCTGGGATCAAAGAGTGCAGTGTTATGGCTGAGAAGGGAGCGATGGACTCCAGCACGTGAGCTGCTTCTCTAACCCAGACCCATTCCCATGTCCTGCAAAATGCCCCTGGATTTAGGAGAGCTTCTGAATATCAGAATCCACAGAAACTACTGGAAACCAATTATGTTGAGAAACACTTGAAAGCATGTTCAGCTTTCAGAAAGATGGAAAGCTGCTCAGCTATTTTTAGCTGCAGTAACAGCAAAGATGTTTGTAGGGAGATAAACCTGCTTGCTTGTTCCCGCTTTTCACAGTCACACTGTGAAACTCCTCCTTTAAAATGGAACAGGAGAGTAGCTTTGAAATTGTTTTTTCATTATGTAATAGTGGAAATTAAGTGCGTGGTTGGAGAGGGAAAGAGGCGTTTCTGCTTGGTGGCAACACAAGGGGCTGACCAGGGCAGATCACACCGTGGCAGATGCATCTGGCCAACAGAGATTGTAATTCAGGGCCAGTGCTGTCAACGTGGTACAAGCCAAAATAGCTCAAATATGGCCCCTAGATGGTACTAAAAAATTTTCTCTCCAGTTCCTGCCTGGAGATGGGCTCTACCTGGTCCCGTGTGTTTGAGAATGAAGTTTTCATCGTCAAACTTCTTGCCGTAGATGGATTTGCCGCCGGTGCCGTTGTGGTTGGTGAAATCGCCGGCCTGGCACATGAACTGGGGGATGACGCGGTGGAAGCTGCTCCCTTTGAAGCCAAATCCTTTCTCGTGGGTGCAGAGGCAGCGGAAATTCTCTGTAAAAGGGGAGAGAGGTGAGAGCTGTGACGCTCCTGGAAGCCACCACGGCAGGGAGGCCGAACCTTCTCCCCCACCTGCGGTCATGGGCACCACATCCGAGCGCAGGAGGATCCGCAGCCGCCCCGCGGGTTTGTTTCCAATCTTGATGTCCATGTAAACCTGAGGGTTGACCCGGGATTTCTTGGCAGGAGGCTCGTCCTGGGCAGGAAAAGAAACAAAAGCGAGTTTTGATGACATTCCTCTGCTGTGCCTCCAGGAATGGCCACTCTCACACCCTCAGCCCTTGGGATAGTGGGGATACAGATGGCTCTGACTGTTTCTCCTACCTCTTGTGCCTCTGGTTTGGGGGCCTCTGTTCCTCCCTCCTCTTTGTTCTCCTCCAAAGTCTTCCCTGAAAACTTCTTCAGCCACTCGTCATCTGACCAGACTGTGGCAGCAAAAGGAAAAGTCAGAGCGCAGGAACTGATCCGAAACGCCACACCTGAGCTTATGCACAGAGCTCTGAACATCCACAGGGATGTTCTCCCCAACTCACCAGGCCTGGATGAGCCTTCTTTAATTCTCATGGGTTTGGCCAAGTTCACACGGATGGTCCTGCCAAAGAGCTCAGACTCGTTCTGCAGAGGGACAAAAAGCACAACAAAGCCCACCCAAAGGTATAAAATCACCGTGCCCCCCAAAATCCCTGCAGAGTTCAGGGGAGGACAGAGCTTGTGTTCTCTCTGCAGCCCACAGGGCAGCAAAGCCACAGGTCTCTGTGGGTGAGTGGAACAGGGTCCATACCATGTTGTCAATTGCTGCTGCTGCATCCTGCCAAGAAATCAAAATACAGCAATTATTACCCTTTTTCTCCTCTGCCTTTAAAAGCAAGGCTAAGCACAGACATGCCCCAGCACTTCATTACAGAAAAGGCAGCCAGATGTTCCTAAACCTCATCTACCCCAGGGCTGATGGATCTTCCAAGAGCTGTATCCAAACCAGGATCTGGGTCTCATCTTCCAACAACCCAGTAAATCCATTTTATTTAAGATGCTTTATTGCTGACAACAGCACTTTGGAGAGGATCTGTGCATGAAACCCAGGACAGACCATAAGAGGACAAATACATGTCCCACCCAGGACGATGGCAGGGAGGAGCTCAGGCCAGCAGCAGCTGTGCTTCAGCCCAGAAAAAAATGGGAAAAGTGGGAGCTTGGAAAACCAGGAGCTTGGAAGAGCAGAACAACATCTCCCACTGCTGGAGACTGATTCAATGCTGTGGTAGGTATAAGCCCCACCCGCTTCCATGGAACTGCCTCCAACGGGAAGGGGATCCATCCCAAGACCCCAGGGGAGGAAAAGCCCCGAGCAGCCTCAGCATTTGCCCCTTCCTCACCTCCGCCAGCTCAAACTCCACGAAGGCGAATCCCCGGTGCTTTTCTGGAGGGAGAGAAGCGAAGGGGGTCACGGGCAGCTCAGACACACCGGTCCCTGGGAGCGATGGGGGTCCCCTCCCATCCCATCCCATCCCATCCCATCCCGCCGGGGATGCCCCGCTGTGCCCAGCCCTGCCGGCACGCACCCGTCTCGTAGTCCAGCGGGATCTGGATGTCGGTGATGTCTCCGAAGGGGATGAAGGCGGCGTGCAGCACCTTCTCGTCCACCTCCTCGGCCAGCCCGCCTGCGGGGCGGGCAGCGGTCACCGGGCAGCCCCGGCGCCCCCGGGCCCCGCTGGTGCCCCCGGCCCCGCCACTCACCCACGTACAGCACCCGCTTGGTGGCCGCCATCGCGCCCCGGTGCTGCCCCGGAACGGCACGGCCCGGCCCGGCCCGCCCCGGAACGGCGCCATCGCCCCGCCCTCGGGAGAGAAGGGTGGGCGGTGCGGGAGGAGGATCCCAGTTAATCAATCTCATGCCGGAGCTCCCGGGAAGCGAAGACAGACCTGGAGTCCCTTCTGCTCCACCCACCAGGCTTTTCCTGAGCCTCCCATCCACTCCGTTCACCTCCACCCCGAACAAGGTGTTGAACGCGATGATGGTGGAGGTCTCCTCCAACCTCAGCGATTCCGCGGTTCTTTCTGTCGGAATTAAGGCACCCTGTATATTTACATAAATAATGCTTTTTATTATCCCAGAGGATCACCCAAAATAGCCTACAAAGCATTTATGGGCCCCAGCGCCAAAATGCAGCCACCTTGAGTGTAGAAAGTAGCACCAGAACCACTGAACACCCAGCTGAAAATTTGGAAATTAAACAAAGAACAGCAGAGCTTTTCTTTAAGAGCAGACTGCAAAAAAAAGGAAGCCCAAACCCTTGTCCTCTTCATGTGAAAATACCTCCCTTCTCTTAGATCACTGCTTACAGACATCACCCTTTCATACATTGCCCAAGGCATAATTTTAACACAGCTACCTCAAAACACTTGTCATTCAAAACTAACAGGCAGAATAACTCAACCCCAATTCAATATATTCCCCACCTGACAGCTGCCCATCAGTTTAATTTCCCAAAAACCATACCACGTTTATTTATCAAACAGAGAGAACGACAGACAACAAGCACAGTGCAAGTTTACTCCTTTATTGATAAATGTTTCCCAAACTTTCCAAACTGGATTGTTCAATTAAACACAAACCCACAAAAATACTTCCAGCCTAAAATCCTCAACGTCCTCCTTAGAAGACACAAGGGGTAGCTCTGTTCTGACAAAGGAAAAGCTTGCAACCCCCATTCTGGTTTTGGAAACCTCAAGCTTCAGAGCTGGCTTATTTAAATAAGATCTTGAAGATTAATTTACAAAATGCAATATAACTATGTGATATGATGCATGGCATTGAGATCTGCAGGACAGTGAAGGATCTTCAAACATCTTGAGCTGATGTCTAGGAAGGGGCTATTTGGCTTCTTTGTATCCTAGAGGGAAAAGGGGAGACAAGTTACTCACACACAGCATCCCTGCTCCAGGTTAGGGAATGTTCCAGAACTACAAACCATAAGGACTGCAGTATAATTTGGAAGGTACAGAGAACCTGTTCACAGTTGTCAGATGATCAGAAATTGTTATTCTCCACAAGAAGCTCAAATTCTTTACTAAATCAGCCAGTGACCAGAGCCACTGAGAAATATATGGGTGAAAATAAGAATCCTGATCACTCTTCACCAGCTTGACCTCTGACATGTGACTACAACAGCATCACAAAAAGTACTGGAGATGTCAATTCCAGACAATCCACAGGGAAATGGATCATCAAAAGCAAGAGCAGGCATTCGAAGAATCAAAAACCTGATTCAGAAGTTAAACAAGAGTCGGCTCCAAATACAGGGGACACCATTTGTGTGACCAAACCTGTGCAGTGAAATGACATTCCTGACACCAGCACTTTATAACAGATTCTGAAGGCAGATGGTTTTCAGGATAAGGAATGGGCATCAACAGCCTGTTTAGCCTCAAAGTCACTAGAGCACCTTTTGTCTCTCCCATTTCCCAGATTAGCAGTTCCACAGAACTCATCCCAAAGCTTTTAGTCCTTCCTTGACATGTCAGCTGCAAGGAACACTTCAGGGTCTTATATAGCACCTTTCTGATGCTTAATTAAAATAAGGTATGTGAAGAACATTTTAAGTTTTACATAAGGATTCTTTAGGGAGAAACTACATTAGGAGTTTTGGTTATAAAGAGTGGACTAAAATCAGACAAGTGCTGGACATGGCCCTGCATGGGACCTCCAGACCGGACTGGTCACTAACAATCATGTCTTATTTACCGATTCTGGAAGCTTCTAAGTGAAGCTGAGGACCGAGACACTCACCAGTCATCCTGGTTCAAGAGGTAGCAGCAACCACACCCACCTTCTGGGCAGCTTCTTTCTTGGCTTGGTGAGCCTGCAACACGGCCACGGCCTCCTCCACCTCGGGGAGACAAACCCAGTGAGACCTTCTCCCTCTGAGCCCCCCAGAGCCACCCCAGCGAAGGGAACACCCCCATTTACCTTGGACCGGAGCGACTCTGGAGACTCCAGCATGTGCAGCAGCTCGGAGTTGTCAATCTCTAGCAGCATTCCTGTGATCTTCCCAGCGAGGCTGGGGTGCATAGCTTGGATCAGAGGGAACAAACGTTCTCCTGAGGGGAAAAAGAGTTCAGAGGAGTTTTGATTAAGGAGTTATTTTTGAGATCTGAGGGGATTTTCAGGTGGGAAGTCACCTGTGAGTGCTGGAATTTCACTCACCCAGCATCTGTTTCTGCTCCTGGGGAGGGGCAGCAGCCAGCATGGAGGCTGTCAGTGGTTCCTGGCCCTGCACGTGTACTGCGGGCTGAGGTGCCTGTAAAGGACAGACATGAGGGTTCTGAAACAGGCAATAGGCTGATTCTTTCATATTTAGACAATACTCAGGTATTCCCTCCTAAAACACAATCTTTCTCAAGCCTACAGCACACTTAAGTTCCAGAGAAGGACAGGTAAAGCGCCCTTGGTTCACAGACATGCTCCCTGCAAGTCCTGAGTTCAAAACCCCATTATGTCACACATGGGCCCTGTAAATCTTACAAAAACAGGATCAAACATGGTGAGACATTGAGAAAGAGCAACATCCACACCTGCCTTTTTCACAATGCAGAGGTTTGTGGGAAAAGCAAACTGTGCTTTCAATGATACTCTGGCGAGGACTTGGCACAGAGGAGAAAGAATAAATGGTTGCAAAATGGGGACAAAGAAGCAAGAAGAATATCCTCACAGCAAATCTGGGTACAAAAGGGCTTGGGAGTACAAGACAGATAAACCAATCAGCATGCCCCTGGCAATGGCACAACTGCCAGGTTTTTAAATTCCAAATTATGCCTGTCTGGGTTATAAAAGTGGTTTGAAGTTTCTATAAGAACTCTTTAGTTGCATGTGAAACCTGCTGCCTGAAGTAACTGCAGGGACTTCCCAGCCCAGCCCCTGGGGTTACCTGCAGAGGTTGGACACCTGGGTGTGGGCTGCGGACACTTGAGGCATATTTGTAAGGAGGGACAGCTCTGGGAGCAGGGGCAGCTACGGGTGGACGGGGAGCCAAATTCTGTGCTGCTGTGCCAACACCTGCAAAGGAAGGAGGACAGAGTGACAAACCTGCAAGGTTGGTATTAACTGCTGAATTCAAGTCATGCTCTGCACAGTAATAATCCTTTAGACACCTGAGTGTAACTTGCTCTTTTATTAGTGGGCTATTCTCCCTAGGACTAATCCAGGTTTTTTGAGTGGTTAAGTGTCGCAGAGGTGTAGAGATGAGTCCCAAACCAGTGGAAAACAACCCATCTGGATTTCCACTGCTGTGCTGTAGCACCATCTGTCCCCAGACCTGCACTGCACAGCGAGGAACAGGAAAGAGTCGTGTGCTGGCTCTGCCCCTTGCTCCCGGTGACCTTTGGTTGTCCCATATCTGACAACCATCTTTGGAAGCAGAGGTCAAGTCTCCACAGCACTCTCCTCCTTCCCTCCAGGCCAAGGGGAATGTCCTGGGAGCAGATCCCTTACCAACTCGCTGGGCAGCAGCTGGGAGGCCACGGGAGGCCGGAGCATTGGCAGGGGCCAGATGGCGCAGGGCTGGCCGGGGTCCCGACTGGCGCATGGCATTTGGCATTCCCTGGAAGCCTGATGGAAGATATGGGGGGGGAAAATCCTCAGAACAGAACCAACTGGTAAGCCAGAACACTCAGCTACAGGGATTGTGCACGGAAAGGAAAGCATGGATTGTTCCTGTTGGGAAGTACAGCCACCAAAGGGTCATACAACCAAAACAGTTTCTGGCATGCTCACCTTGAGGTCTTCCTCCTTGCTGCCAGCGTGGGTTGGGTCTCATCTGGGTCATTTGGTTGGGTGCATAGTAAGTGGGTCTGCTCTGAGCCTGAAAAAAGATCAGACAAGGTCAGAGGCAGCATCTAACTGAATCACAAACATTGTTTACAACATGTTTTGGCACTGGTTGCCAGGACTCAACACTCAGGTCAGATTAAGAGAACAGGCAGCTGGCAAGTCAGAGAATTAACCCCACTGACTGCACCCCTCATTAGGAGTTATTTGCTTACAGACATAAGAAAGGTTCAATGAGATTAATGCCGTTGAACCAACAAACCTCTCAGACAGGTCAAAGAACCCACACTGGCTCAGCTCACCTGGGGCACAGCAGGCATGAAATACCCCCCAGCAGCAGGCTGGAACTGGTTAATGATCGTGTTGGCAGGCAAGGCTCTCATCCCAGCGATGCGCTGCATGTACTGGTTCGTGAGATGGGCCTTCCTCTCCTCTTTCCTCTGTGCCAGTGCCACATACAATGGCTTGGAGCCCACAATCCGCCCGTTCATCTCTGTCACGGCTTTCGTGGCTTCCTCTGGAGAGGAAAAGCAGACAAAGCCAAACCCTTTGCTCCGTCCATCTTCCAGCATCACCTGCAGTAAAGATCAATTGCTAGTGGAGTACCAGCACCGCAACTCGGCCTAAGAATCCCCGGATTTTAAATTTCAGGCAGGCAGGACATAACTGTTGCAGAGGTGTAGAGGCAGGTACTCAATGGAGAGTCACTTGTCTGGATTTGCTCTGCTTTGCTGTCAGCACCAGGTGTCCCCAGGCCCACACTGCGCAGTAAGGAATGGGAAAGATTTGGTGCAGCTCTAAATGCCACTTCCTGCTCGCTGGGACTCACTTAAACAGGCATGTTTGCCCCTTCCTGTCTCCCCCTTTGATAAGGGAATGAAGCTTTCAGTAAAATCCCACCAAGACCCAAAGAAATCTGTTTATTTACTGGTCCAGATGTTTTCAGAACCACAATGACCAGAAGATAAGAACTGTCTCTTTAATCCCATGTCAGACAACAGTTCCTTCTTCAGGCTTTAAAATTCAAATACTCCCAAACTCGACAATACCTTGGCACTCGTTATTGACCCAAAAGGTGAGAACTCCTTCCTCAGTTTTTCATCATCTATAGTGTCATCTAGGTTTTTAATGTACAGGTTAACACCCTGGAAGGGAGAGAACAGTAAGACATTCATAACATTAAAGAAAATCTTAAGCACATCAACAGTTATCCATCTGCCAGAGCTGTAATGTATCTGAAAACTCTTAATTTAGCATCATGTTCCTTTCATACCACCCAAGGCTGAAGGTGTGATAAATGTTGCAAAGGCGTAGAGACAAGTCCCACTGTGGTGAAAGGGAGCTTGTCTGGATTTCCTCTGCTTCCCTGTTGCATCCTGTGTCCCCAGTCCAGAACTGAACCTCAAGGAGCGGGGAAGTTTCAGATGCAGCCTCTGACATGACCCAGTTCTGCCATGAATTAGAGACAACAGTGCAGAGTTGTGCTGTCTCTTCCCATCCCTCTGGGTTTCCCCATTTGACAGTCAAGGAGGCTGCATGCCTGTTTCCTCATGTCCTCCTAAACACCTGCACTGCCAAGACTATGGACCCTTTGACACCAAACACCACAGAGACACCTTTAACTCCCAGGGTCTCTCACAGGACAATGACTACTGTGTCAACTCCTTCTGAGTCCAGCAACAGGCTGAAAATGGTGCTTAAAATCAGAGAAGGAACAGAGCAATCACCTGGTACCGGCTGAGTCTCTCCTGTTTTAGCTGTTCAAACCTCCTCTTCAGCTCTGCCTGGCGCTCAGCCTTCTTCTGTGCTCGGCCCACAAACAGCATTTTCCCATTGATATCCTTCCCGTTCATTTCTTCCACTGCCTGCACAGAGGGTCCAAGAGGAAACCGTCAGCTGCTGAAGCAAGACAGTACCTGATCCTGCCCAGAGCTCAGGTTGTATCCCTGCCTGTCAGTCAATAAATCAAAGTTTGCACATTACCTTTGCACTGTTTCTGCGTTAACAACCGGCTAATTAAAGACACACGGAAGTTACCAGGACAGATCACGCTGACACAACACCATTGTGAATTTATCCCCACCCCTTTTCTTGCAAATAAGGCTAAATTTTAACAAGCACACTGCTCAGCAAACAGTGTTAAACAATGTTCTCACTCTAGAAACCTTCCTCCTCCTCAAGCCCTGCACTGTAGTATTTCTCCAGCAATTAACAGTCTTGATTATACCACTGCACGCTGTGGATCCAGGAAACTGGAGAAATGCCAAGTTAGCCTTGAATGTCAAGCTAGTAAGGTGCAAAAGGTTTCTGAGTTCCCACATCTAGACACAGTTACGACTGAGGCAGAATTTTCTTCCTTTTCAGAAACAGGTTCCCATGACAAACCAAGTTTTTCTTCTCTGAAGATATCCAAACAGCAAAAATTGGTCCTACCTTGTTAGCTTCTTCATGCTTTTCAAAGCTTACAAAGCCAAAGCCTTTGGATTTTCCAGTGGGGTCTGTCATCACTTTAACACTCAGTGTTTTACCTGTTATCAAGGGACAGGGTTAGTAAAATACCATAAATCTATTTCAAGATTATTAAGCTTCATAAAATAACCTCATCCCCCAGCCTCTGCCTCCTGTCCAACAGTTGGCACAACTACTCCCACACCTCAGCCTTAAAGTGACTGAGGTAGAGCTACACAGATGGCAGCAGCACTGAAACTACCACAGTTCATGAAATTCAGCCTCATTAAAAGTATTTCTGTATTTACCATATTTGCCAAAGAGCTCCTTCAGTCTTTCATCATCCATGTCATCCCCAAAGTTTTTAATATAAACATTGGTGAATTCTTTTGCCTTGGCTCCCAACTCAGCCTCCCGCTCCTTACGAGACTTGAATCTGCCAACAAATCTGCAAGAAAGAATGAAAATCCCAATAAACAGACTGTCTTCAAGAGCGGAAGAACAATGTGTGACTTGCAGCGAGGCAAAAAAATGAGTGTGTAGTAGGAGCTGGGAATGGGGACAAGAAAGGGTGACAGCAGAGGACAACAAACAGGCCACAGACCAACCAGAAAAATCACCTGTCCTACGGTCAGCCAAGGACGCCCACCCAGCTCTGCACCTCTGTCCTGTCCATAGAACCCACCCCGCCCGCTAGCAGAGAGGTGGCAAATCAAGGCTTGGTCAGGGAAACCCACCAGTCCTGGAATGGAGGGGTAGCAGGCCATGGCTTGGGCAGGGTCACTCACCAGCCCTGTAGTGGAGAGGTAGCAGGCCAAGGCTCGGGCCAGGAGAACCAGTGCCTTGTGTGTCCCTGTTAATACCGAGATGCCTCCCGGAGCATGTGAGCGCTGCTGCTGCCGGCTGTGACACTCACACTTTGCGGTCGTTGAGCAGCATGCCGTTCATCTTCTCGATGGCTCTATCTGCAGCATCCTGCGTCTCAAAGTGCACAAAAGCGTAGCCCTTAGAGCCATTCTCATCACACACCACCTGCAACACGGGCAAGGAGAACAAAATGTCAGCCCTCTGAATGTGTTGTCTCCTCTGTCACACCCATGTGAAAACATCTTACTGCCCAGGGCACGACAAAGACAGCGTCTGTGTTTCAGACTTCACGACCAGATCTGACACAACCTCAGCAATCCCTGAGATTTTGGCTGACTCTGCCTTTCAGACTCTGCTCCTCACCTGGTGGAAGGCGCCCCTTCCACCTCCTGCACTGAACTGTCTGATCCTGTCCCCGCCATAAGAGAATCGGACAAAGTTACCACATCTCTCACCTTGCAGGACAAAATGTTTCCAAACGCTGAGAACGTGTCATAAAGTGCCTTGTTATCAATGGATTTGTCCAGATTCTTAATGAAGACATTCCCAACCCCTGACTTCCTCAAGGAAGGGTCCCTCTGAGACCACATGATGCGAATGGGTTTTCCTTTGATCACATCAAAATTCATGGTATCTAGAGCTCGCTCAGCTGCAAGAGAAGCCAAGAACAGGTTTCTGTGGTTGGTTAAAGAATAAAAAGGTTTCCATCAGGTGGGTGATCATTTGCTCTGAATTCTACCCAGCTCATGGAGACATTTGAGCTATTATCACAGGTGATCAATGGCTTTTAACTCAATGTTTCAAAGGAAATCTTGCAGCACAGTCACTAGACATGTTAAGTATATAAAAGGTTTCACAGACTATTTAAATTTACATTATAGCAATATTTTAACCAGCACAGTAGAATGGATGTCAAAGTGCCTGGGGTCTATTAGCTATATTCTTAATTATTATAAAGGTAAATTGCTCCATCAAAAGGAGGAAAGGAAATTCAGGAAACCCTGTTAAAAAATGGAAGCGACAAAAGTGACTGTTTGGCTGTTTTGCTTTTCCTGAAACTCATATCTACCCGTACTCATTTCTATTCAGAGAAAGGATCATCCCCCTGTCAGGTCAGGGAAAATGTGCACGAACACGTGGCTGGCAGGGAGGACAACATGAGTCAGCTTCTATAACTTCTGTGGCCAAAAAACGATTCCCAAGTTGCTCAAGCTAAAGATGACAGCAAAAGTTGACAAAATTCTGGGGAAAAAAAGTCCATACACCTAATCTGATTAAAGGGAAGTGTTTATCTAAAGTCTCAAAGCCCAGCACTGTCATTCTAACCTGCACTGAAACCCCCTTCTGTGGTGCTATTTCTGCTGCCTACTGGTATATTAAAAGGACCATTACGTACACACATCAGGATCTTGTTCATAAAATTGAGATGCTTGGATTGTCCTGGGCCAGAAAACACTCCCAGCATGGAGTGAGCAGAGAAAAAGAAAGGCTGTTAATTCCCAGCATGAAGCAGGGAAAGAGATGGAAAGATGCATTAAAATCAAGGAATATTAACAGGGCAGAACCCAGGTTTTCCAAATATGTTTGGCTCAGTTCTTCCAGGCCACCTTCACCCTGTAATACTTGCTAATTAGATTTTAGGAGCAGAAAATTCAATTCAAAGACCTTCTTTCCTCTGACTCTGCTCATGCAGAGTAACTGCTTAGCATGTCCCAAAACTACCTCTAGGAATTCCAATGCGACACTGCCTACCAAAGCCTCCTGCACTCCCTTCCCCCTTCAACCACTGTCCAGAAATTTCCCAGAATTTTTCATGTGCTTTGAAATGTTTGGGTTTTTTTGTTGCTGTTGCTTTTTTAATTGAAGTGGGGTCATCACTATTTCCCCCAGTCCTTCACACATAAATCCAGCTGGAAACAAGCTCTGCTGGACTTTCGTTCCTGAAGGAGCCAGGCTTGAGAAACAATATTAATTTAAGGATTCTCCCAGCTCTGCTTAGTCAAAGGTGTTAAGTGCAATTAACTGCCATGCTAAAATGATTTCTCAGCTGCTGCTCCAAGCCCATGCAACTGAGGTTCTTCCCGCAGTCCATTCCTGGTAGGCAGTTTAGCAGCCGACCTGGTCCAGTTTGTCAAATTTGGCAGTGTTTATTTATAGCAGGCAGAGGTCCTGCAGAAGCATGTGTTGGCAAGGACACAAACTGGTTGTATATACCATTTGCAGCAGAAACAGGCTCCTGCTGAAAGGTGACAAGCAGATGCAGCAGTGGCACGTAACCAGAGGGAACTGTGAAGGCTCCACAGAGCCACCGAGGTCCAGAGGAGTGAGGAACTCACTCCCAGTCCTTTCAAGCTTCCTAAGCATATGCTTAAGCGGATACTTTTGCACTGCTCTTTTCAATAGGTTACCTGTTCCACCCTATCATTGCACTCCTCTAAATTCACTCAGACGCTGTGAGAAGTGAAAACCCTACACGGATTGACGGAGGTGTGCCGTACCCACAGGTGGAAATGCGATCCCCATTCCACCAGGACCTCAGAAAACCTGTAAAGGATCAGCAGGACTTCTGTGAATGACTCACACTAAGCACATCTGATTCATTTCCTTAATCTGAGCAAACACCTTCTCATTTTCTTCTATTTAAGCCACAAAGCTTCAGCTATTTCAGTTCCTATATCTGTTTCTCTCCCACTGGTTCCTGTCATCCTTCCAGGAGACTCAACTGCAACTCATACAGAACATTATACACACTCTTAACCCCTTCCAGGCTTCCTTTTCATTCCTCTTCCATGGCCTTGTGGATAGGGAAAGGTATGAACACTCACTGCAGTTTGCCTCAGGCCTCAAAGTAATTAACCTCCCTTAGAGGCTCCCAGAGCTAACACAGTGCTGGAATTAGTGACTGTGGTTGAGCAGCAAGAAGACAGATAACCACACACGTGAAGATTCATCCAGGAGAAACTCCACACAAGTTTTGTTCTAAAAGACAGATGCTCTGCAAACCCCAGGGTTCTCACTTAGGTCACCAAGCAAAAAAAGGCTGACGACACGAGCACGCAGCACAAATTTAACCACTTATTTTTTTAAAAAGTGAGGGTGCACACAGAACAGACTTAAATCCCTCAATCACTGAAATTACAGCAAGATGCTGCTGCAGTGAAGCATTATGTCAGTTCCCACTCTTCCCTTTTAACTTCACACTTGCATTTACATTGCACAGATCTTCATTTACACTGCCTTCTCTTCAAGGGAGAGAAGAGTGAAAAAGTTTCTCTATACTCTTCTACACCTTGCTTCTTTAGAGACACATCTATTTCCAGCTCTGGGTTCCTTCTTGGCTTGGGAAACATTCTGTTTTCTCTGCTTTCAGAACATCTTATCTCTGCAGCCATATTAAAGTTTCTCTGCTTCATTACCTGAATTGCCATGTCATGACTGTCAAGTGTTAGGAAACCCTGGAATGGAATTAAATTGCACGAGGAACACATGAAAAGGGAAATTCAGCTTTTCTTTCAAATCAAATGAGTTTGTTTTCTTTCCTTTCTTCACAGTCAGAAAGAATAAATATTAAAAACCACAGCTGAGCCTGAAGTAGCCAGAACTTTGAAGTGTTTCCTTACTCTGCCTATCACAGTAAGACAGGCTCAGTATCCAGCGTTCCCTGGTTACTACAGCAAAGAACTGCCATCAAAAACAGCAGAGCTCATTTTCCCTAAAAATAACCACTCTGCAGCAGACTGGCAGTTAGACAAAGCACGTCCAGAAAGCAGCTCCTTCCAGGGTCAAGCACCACTCCACCACCTAACAAAAATGTAAAGAAAAACACAAGCTCTGACCCAGTTTGGACACAGGAACTCTGGAAGTGCAGAGCCTGCTCAGGACGTGAGCTCCTCGTGGCTCGTGGAATGGGGAAGAGTTCTGCCACCTTCAAACCATCCCCAATTTCTGCATTTCACAATAAGAATTGTTTTCTTCATATTCAAGTGTGTTTTGGAAGGGCTGTTTCATGTTCTGCTGCATTGCATGTAGTACAGTAGTTGGTTTTTTTTTTTAATTTAAGCAGTTTGCCAGACAGAAGAAATCAGGAGCATTTCAGAGGAGTTTTCAGGAGGGTAGGAGGAGTTTGACTATTCCTCTGTCCCGATACTAACTCAATGATTAGGTTTAAATCACTTGACCTTCTAGGACCTATTAGTAACAAGACACCACTTACTTACTTGGTTTAAGTATCACTTCAAGTACAGGAGCTTCCTAAAATGTCTGCTGCCTCACCAGGAGCCCAGAATGGTGCAACCTCCCTCTAAATTCCTGCCTCTTTATTACCATAAAAGATTATCTTGGAATATAATGCAAAGCCACCTATGTGTATGAGGTGCAGAACTCTTTCCCTAAAGCCAGACATGTGACCAGCCACTCCTCCCTTTTTAAATCATCACTCCACTAGCTAAACAGCTTCCCTCTACTTCAGGGGAACTTTATATTTTTGCACCTCATCTTGCCAGCATTTATCTCATCCAAGCTTGGAGTTCTTACCTTTATCTCTGCTGCTTGCTTTGATTTCTCTTACCCTGCAAAATGAGATCACAGCCCAGGCAAAGGCAGGTGAGCTGGGATAACTGTACCTCTGCTTTTTCAGCACATGAATGTACCAATGGGTCTATAGGAAGGACTCAGAGCAGGACAGGACCACATATACAGGCTCTCAGGTTCTTTCCTCCTCACTGGGAAGTTTTAAAACACATAAATACACTGCTTAGTCTGCACAAAAAGCATTTCTGAGAGTTCCATGAAGGAGGAATCATGCAGTGGGGTGCAAGCCAGCTTTTTTATCAGCCTGGCAAGAGAAAGGATCAGGAGTGCTCAATCAGATCAGTCCTTATCCCAAGGAAAGAGCATGTAGAAGTTACTCTGACCAGGGAGAAGATGAAAGCTCTGTAAGAATGCAAAGCAGGAAAACCCACTGCAGGCTAAAGGAAACTTTACTTGCTGCTCAAGCCTGTGCTGTTGTGAACTGACTCTGAATTCAAGGGAAAAGTCCATTCTCAACTCTCCTCTGGATGTCTCTGTCACATTTAGATGCTGCTAAACCACAGCACAGAGCAATGAACTTGCACTAGTCAGCAAGCAAAGCTCTGAAAACTAGGGCAGAAAACGCTGACCCATTTTCTTTCCAGAAAAGACATGTTCCAAAATGACCTCTCCCGTCCCATCTTTCACATGCTGCTTCAGCTCTGGAATACCTACTTGTAGGAAACAAACTGAAGTGTGAAAAAAAAAAGAAGAGTCTGGCAAGGGCAAATTTAACTTGGCTTCTGCATGTGAGACAACCTGGTTTCCCATGGACTGAACAATGCATTTTCTCTCCATTTAAAAGCAAGAACACCACCTCCCAAACTGGGAGACATCCAGCTGCTTGCACAAACACAGGAATTAACCAGGTCTCCCAAGTGTTACAATGGAGTGAGTGGAACAGCCAGAGAAGATAAGTATTCACTGAGTATTCAACCAGGGCTGGCTACTCTGAACTACTTGTGCTAGGACTGACTGCAAAAATACCCACACAAACAGCCCCAAAACTACACCAGAATGAAGGGGAACACAGTGAGGATTACTTTTTTACGTGAGGAACAGACACACATGTCCGAAATTTAATACCAGTGCAAGAAATAGATCTATCAGACACGTTACTAAGATGTGCATTTGCAGACACCAAGCAGTAAATATTCCTATTCCAATCACTAGAAAAGGATTACTCACCCCCGTAGTGCGTTTTGATAGGCATCCACCTGGCAACAACACACCACCAGCAGTGCGAGTTAAGTGAGGAAAAAAACGAACAAAAGTTGCAGACCTGGCTGTAATCGCCACTTACCATCTGCTGGCTGCTGGAAGTTGACATAGGCATAGCCGAGGGACCGGCGGGTGATCATGTCCCTGCAGACCCGAATGGAGAGCACGGGGCCAGCGGGGCTGAACTTCTCATAGAGCATGGCCTCGGTGATGTCGGGGTGCAGGTCCCCCACGTACAGCGATGCCATGGGGTAACTGCTGGCTGCCGTGTTCATCTTCCCCTCACCACTCACTCCCACCGCGGACTAAAGGGTTCTTGGTTTCGTTTGTTTGTTTGTTTGCTTGCTTTTTTCCTCTTGGGATTTCTATAAGTCAAGCTTCTTATAAATATTTAATTTTGGGGGCAACACACGGAAGTCTTATTGAAAAGCCTGGTTAAATCTGCGGCCTGCAGACACGGCGTGGGGCAGGGGGTGGGTGCGACGGGAGGATGGGGGGGGAAAGCACACCGAGAAGCTGAAAGGGGGTTGGACAAGCCTGATAATAATAATAGTAAAAAAAAAAAAAACCACACGCACACCCCCTCCGAAAGTTCAGCCTCCTGGAGCAGCAGGGATCGGATACGACGCCAAAACTGATACGACACCACAATTCACACGCCGAGCTCTTTTCCCGTCAGCTCTGAGGCAAAAAAAAAAAACCCTCCTCAAGGTCCTAAAACCTACAGGGTCCTAAAAAAAACCCGCGTGCCCTTTTTTTTTTTTTTTTTTTTTTTTTGTTCGCTTTGGATTTAGCCCAAATCCTGCAGAGCGGCGGCCGGTCGATTTTCTGAAGGGTGGCGGGGGAGAGAAAAAAAAGAATAATAAATCTCTGAGAGATACTTATATTAACATTTCTTTTAAAATCAGGGGCTCCCTGGTATATACTCTATAGACGCTTATATTTTACAGATATCGCAGATAAAATATATATATATATATTTATGTGGCGGTGGCGGGGCGATATCCCACACGCGGTGGCGGCGGCGCCCCTGAGGGCGGGCGGGCGCGGCCGCGCTCTCCGCTCGCCCCCCCCCACACACACCCAGCGCTCCCCACGATCCCTCCCTGCCCCTGAGGCGCCGGTACCGGGCGCGACACCGACTCACCGGGCGGGCGGAGAGGCGGCGGCGGCGGCGGGCGGCCCTTTATAGCCGCCGCGGCGGCGCGTGTGGGCCGCGGAGCGGCGGAGAGGAGGCGGCCCGGGCCCGGCGGGCACAGCCCCGTGTCGTCCCCGCCGCCGCCGCAGCGCCCCCAGAGGCGGGAGGACCCGCCCGGCCCTGAGGGGGCACCGCCGCCATTTTGGGGTCGCCGCGGGGCTCTGGAGAGGCTGAATCAATAAAAAACTGTTTTAAGTGAAAGTGTTCTAATCTTCAGCCAAAGGTGGATAATGAATGCTGTAACAGTATGATGTGAAAATACGCTCCGGAAAGCAAAATCAATCAAAGGTGGTTCAAGTAAAAGTTTAAGTTGTCTCTAAGTAAAGGTTGGTGTTGGTGTCTCGCAGCAATAAAACACAAAACTATTTCAAAGGTTAAGTAAAAGAAGTCTAAGTTATCTTGAGCTAAAGATTAATGTTGATGCCTTGTATCAATTAAATGACTGACTGTCGAGGAGGGGCTTGAGGTGTTAAAGTGTATAAAAGCTCACAAAATCCTTGTTTCAGTGGGGTGTTTATGATGGAGGAGCTATCCCTGACACTACCCCGACAGCGTATTAAAGGAATGCTGGTTTATCATGCGTCTGAGTTTAATTTCTTTGAATCACAATACAGGGAAAATTGCTGGGGAAAAAAAAAAAATTACTGAAAATTACCGAAACCAAACTCGATGTGCGTCAATAAACAAAGCCTGGGGGAGGGATGTACTGCTGAAATTGGACGCAAGGGATGCAGAATTTATAGGCTACAAGGACATTTTGCAGAAACCAGAGATAAAGAAGAAACTAACAAAGACAATTTCACCGGTTGTGCTGAAACCCTCTCTGCCTGAGAAAAAGATAATAAAAAGGCTGAAAATGTGGACAAATTAACACGAGAAGTGAGAGAATCAATAACCAATAGAAGATAGGATACTAATTAATGAAGAGATTTATGTAATTTATAGCCAATGAACATTGATTTCTTTGTCCTCTAAAATGTATAAATAGTGAAAAGTTATAAAAGTGCAAGTCTGGGGAGCGATCCCACACATACCCAGCACTGTGAATAAAGTGAAGCCTGCTTTCTTATACTAAAAATAGTGTTAGAGAGTTTGATTTATCCCGACGTTTTCAGCAACATCCTCAGGGAGACAGTGGCCCACAGCACCTCAGGGATGCTCAGCCATGGCCCTGGCACAGCCTCCTCCTGTGCCCCTGGGCAAGCAGGGCAAACATTTCTCTAGGGACAAGACTGTTTACAAGACCGTGTAGTGACAGGGCAAGGGGAATGGGTTTAAACTGAAAGAAGGTAGGTTTGGATTAGAGATCAGGAAAAAATTCTTCCTCTGGGATCGTTTTTCTCGCTGCTCTGAGCTCTGGTTTCGGAGGTGTAGTGGCGGTGGGACGATGAGCAGCCATAGCTGGAGCTGTTCCCACAACCTCCTTGTCTTCAGGGCATAATTTTTCCTCACATAAGTGCAAGTTCCCGTGGCAGCCCTGGCTCTGCGCCAGCTCACATCATGGGCTGCCCTGGAGAGGGACCAAGGGACTTCGATGTCTCCCTGTGGTAGTGAGCTGTCAGTCCCTCTTCCCAGGGTGAGGGTCGAACAACTCCGAATGCAGAAGAAAGCCTCTGGAACAAGAGAGTGGATTCACCCCCCTCCGCCCTCCCATGGCTTCACACTCACGAGATTCAGCTCCGGGGAGACCCTTAATTATCTATTTCCAGCATCTTCAGCGGAGCGTGAGGACACGGCAGCACAGGATTCAGTGATTCATCAGTGACCTTCAGGCTCCATGGACGTCCTGTTAAGGGGGGAGTAAAGTAGTCTACAGAGGCTGGTAGCTGGGCATTGTGACTTTTAAAGTCTGCATTAAATTACCTTTCATTTGCTTTAAAAGTAGGATATGATGTTATCATAAAAATGGGATATGATAGTTATCCCTTCATTATGGAAAAATCAAGCGTAGCAGAATAAAAGGTGAGACTGTAATACTTTGCACTGGTTTTCACTCTGGATTGTTTTCCAAAGACACAAAACATCCTCCTCGTGAGATCATCATGTTCCCAGCAACTGCTGGTGCTGATGGGATCATGCCTGGTGGCTGTCACTGTTCTGTGCTCAGTTCTCCACAGCCGGCATCTCCTCTGCTGGGAAACCACGGACTGAGACAGGAGTCTTGCTGTGGAAGGGTTCGGCTCCTGCTTTGACAGCTAAAGTCAAAACACAGCAGATCCTGAAGAACATGTTTCCACATAAAACGCCCTTTGGCTGCAGCAGCCGCTGTGGCTACGCTGCTAACGGCTTTGATTTGAAACATATTTAGTGACATTTGTGTTCCCTCCCAGGGGACTCCGTGCAGACAACCACAGCCCTGTGTCCTCCTCGATCCTTTTCGCTCCAAAAATGAACTGATGGGCTGGGGGTACCCTCTGCCCACCAGGGCCTAAAACTGCCCCAGGGCCCCCAGTGCTCTTGGTGCCCTCAACACACAAGTGCAGCTGCTCCTGGTGACCAGCGATACCTGAGATCCTCCCAGTTCCCCGTCTCAGGACCTTCAGCAGTGCCTGGAGCAAAGGTGACATCTGTTAATGTCTTCATCCTGCCAATCTGCCCCTGATGATGCTGGTGTGAGACTCATCAATCACCCAGAGGCCTCTCAAGCCACTCTGCCCCTGTGTGTCTGAGCAGTACCTCAGTCGTGTAGGGTCATCATAGAAGATCACCCATTTTTTTCAGCACAGATGGCAAATTCTCAACCACATGCTGCCCCTGGTTTAGGATTTCTCCTCCTCAACTGTGGAATTTTACCAGCAGATGGCAGACCGGGATTGCACCACGAGCAGAAAGGAGGGAGAACACCCAGGGCAGGCAAGAGCAGAATGGAGGCAAGCAATATTTTTCATGCAGGGGAATTTGGGAGAGCAGGACTCCATCCCAAAGCACCTGCTGAACAGCAAATCTCCCACAGCCTGGGAGCGGCCTTGTCCCCTCCCAGCAGCAGGGAAGGCTCGTTCATCAGGACACTGTCTTGTTCCAGCCTCGCCGGGGTCAGAGCCGGTGCCATGATTAACTGAGCAACCCCAGCCCACGCCTTCCCACAGATCTCTTCATCGTGGTTTTTTTTGCCTGAAGAACAAGGATGAAGAGAGTGCTCGGAGAGTTTGGGGATTTCCCCTGCAGGGTAGATCAAAAGTTGCCAGGATGTGTTAGAAGAGACGCAAAGGCTCGAGAAAACCCTGGGAAAAAAAATGAAGCTCCAGTCCCGAGCCTACTGCTCTAATCACCATGTTGCTGTGGGGAGAAAACCCCACGGGCCTGAACCGGTGCCCTCCCACCCGCTCCAGCTCCCGTTTGATCCGCAGAGATCAGGAAGTGTTTTTTTTCCACTGTCTCTGTTTTGTTTTACCACTGTAGCCCGCGGGGCCGGTTTGTGTTCCTGCCTCCCACGGAGGGTAATTTGGTTCCTCTCTCTGGCCGAGGCCACACCAGAGCACTGAGCTCCCACCGCAGGGTCAGGGCAGCCCAGGCACCAGCGGGACGACCCGTCATCAATAGCCCCATTATTGCTCTTGAAGTTGCTCCCCGCTTCCAGACGGATGCTGCATCACTCCACCACAGCTGCAGTTGCTCCCTTCCAGCAATTCCCCACACAGCACTTAAAGAAGGGATTTATGGGCGGTTTTGAAAGGCACTTTGGAGTGAGAAGGAGTTATGGGAAAGGAAGTTGAATTCCCACCATTCCCCAGAAAATTCTCCCAGCATCTTTCACGAGAAGGATCATTTACTGGTCCTTTCCTCGCAACAGAGACAAGCTCTCAGCTGTGGCTCTTTGTTTAGTCCAAAGCGTTTCCCGATGGCGAGATGCCACAGGGGTTATTCTGGCCCTGACTCCAAAGGGTCAGGAGACCAAGGCAAGCCCTCGGCGTCTGTCTGGAAGGATCTGCTGGACCCCATCTGTTCCCTGACATTTTTGCAGACCCTTGGAGCTAAAAGAAATGATTTATTCTCAAGTGATGGGTTATTGCCAGTCTCAGGGCAAGCCTTGCTGACTACCCGGCTGATTTTGACTCATGTATTGGTTTGCAAAGTTAAAAAGTTTTGGGACCAGAGTCACCAAGAGCTATAAAACCACCAGAGGGGATGTCACCTTACCTTTTTTTCTTTTGAAGCTTTTCAGGAACAAAACCTCACCTGCCACAAACCTGCTCACCAATGACCTTTATAGGTCCCTTCCAACCCAAACCATTCCATGATTCAGGCAGGCTGGATGAGCAGAATGGATTCACATCAACACTACATTTCACAGCCAGGACAGGGGTTTGAAAGACTTTATTTGACACCTTTGCTGATGTCACAGCTTGTGAATCTACGAGCGCTGCACAGTGTAAAGTGAGGCCGGGCTACTCGCCGTGAGCTCTAACGTGCCAACCAGCCACAGGAACAGCCAGGGGTCTGCAAGGATCCCCCTCTGACTTTAGTAAAAGGGAATGCGTTGTTCCTGGCTGATTCTGGCACTTCAGGACAAGGGTGAGGAGAAGTAGCGGAGGCATTTCTGTGTGTTAAGTGTGATGACTTCCATCAAAACAACTGGGAGGGACTCACTTTCAAAACAATAGCAGATACATACATTGACATGCACATGGCAGATACAATCTGTAGGGAGGAAAACACCAGCTCATCCACACAGCCCAACCGGCTGTGGTGTGTTTGACCTGAGGCGTGGGAAGAGCCTCTCCCATTCAGGAGAGATCTTCTCCCTCTTTTTTACCTTTCTTTGCACTGAGCTTTCCACATTTTTCTCCTTCAGTGTCACAGTGCTGCAGAGGTGGGCTAGGGGTGGGCATGCACTGGGTCCAGGC